AAACAACTCTCCCCAATCTATCCTGATTCTTCTCAACCAATTCCTACCCATCAGGGCGACATTGTCACCTGATACAACTACCAATGGTAAGTAATATGCAGAATTTCTGTACTGTACTCTCACTTGTATCCTACCTAAAACTGGTATTTGTATTCTACCATAGCAAGTTAGTTTCATACTTGACCTTTGCAGTGGAATGTGACCTAGAGAATTGTTGTACTCTTTCTCTGAAATTACTGAAACAGCTGCTGCTGTATCTACAACAAATGGCACAACATGATCAGAAATATCAAATTCAACAATAGGAACTGAGTCTGAGTCCATACTAGTATCTTGTTCATCAACTGCGAACAATTTAGGATTGTCATCCTGGACTTCTGTGTCGATCAGATGTGTGTTCGATCTACTGTCCTTTTTTCCTTGACTTGTACTTTGCTGACTATACCCACGACCACGGCCTGGACCTGGACCTCTACCGCGTCCTTGCGATGGTTCGTTGGACTGTCCGCGACTTGCGTTCCATGGTTTCCCGCGTCCTTTGCTGTAACTGGAGCTTGATGTTGCATTTCTGCATGCCCTCTTCAGATGCCCTACTTTCCCGCAACTATAACAGGTCGTCTGCCGGTGGGGACAAGTAGCTGGTTGATGGAAACCTAAACATCGGTAACATTTGCTCTCCTGCTGGGGGGCCCTAGGTTGAGATCTTTCTAGACGATGCACTTCTGCTGAACGCTGACTGCTGCTTGACCCTTGCTGTAGTTTTAAACTATCTGCATCTGCCAGCTCCATCGCAATTGCTGCGTCAACTGCAGCTTTCCAGGTTAGCTCATTTCCTTTGGCCAGGAGCTTCGCCTGCACCTTGTTACTTCGCAGACCTGCTACGAAAGTGTCTCGAAGGTTGGTATCTAGATGTTCCCCATACCCACAATGCCTTGCCAGCTTTTTCAGTTCAAGGATGTACTCTGTTATTGAGTCCTTTGCCCCTTGACGACATTGTCGGAACGCCAAACGGAGTGCAATCTGGTTCTTACTGGAACCATAATAGGTATCTAATACCTCATTCAATTCTTTGAAAGTTTTGGTGCTAGGGTCGTCTGGACAAAAGTGGTTGGACACCGTTTCGAACGCCTCAGGCCCAACTATGGCTAAGAAGACTATTACTTCGTCCCCTTCTGGTATCTTATTGGCTTTTTTCCATATCTGGAATCTTCTTACATAGTTCCCATACTCTTCTCTTTTGGGAAAATATTCCCCAATCTGGCCAATGAATCCCGGCCTCGCCATGCCGCACTGCAGATCATTCACTCAGTCATACAGAACACGTGCAGTAAATTACAAATGTCAACTTTCGATCAGGAATTAGTCTCACCACAATCGTTGAGTCGTAATCGAATGAAATGTAGGTTTCTACTACCCACGAGAACCGCAATTAGCTGTCCTTCCGATCCCGACGTCGGACTCCAATGAATCCCATCCTCGTCGCCAAAATATGTGGTGTATTGAGACACGAAATGACAAGGCAGCTACACTCTGATATCGGCCATATTGAAGACAGTCTTTATTATCCAACAACAGATGGCAGTATAACAGTTGGCGAGGTGGCATAACACCATGTACACTACACCAACCCTTATGGAATAATGATTACATTAAAATAGGCAATAGCTCAATATATAATAAAAAATTATGTCAAAAGGGAGTTCGTTTTGTTAACGATATTTTAGACACAAATGGTGATTTTTTTCTCTCTGAAACACTTTCAAGAAAAGTATAATATTCAAATAAATTTTCTTTTTTATCGTGGATTATGCGATGCAATTAGACAAGGGTTTAACAATTGTACTATTTTTAACAAGGTGCCACAACCTCTTTTCCCAGATACAATGGCATTTGTTATGAAACGTATTAAAGGATGTTCACATATCTATGCAATATTATTAAAGAGAAGAAAAGGACTATGTAAAAGTTTTCTTAAATGGAAATGCATTTTCGACCTGAATGATAAGAGTTGGGAAACATATTGTTCTATTGGATTTAATTGTACCATTGATGTGGGCTTACGATGGTTTCAGTTTTAAGTCTTGCAACGCATATTATATACGAACGATCTACTGTTTAAAATGAATTTGAGTCCCAAGAAAAGAATGTACATTTTGTAATGAACAGATTGAAACAGTTATACATCTGCTATGTGATTGTACGCATGTTAAAAATATTTGGGGTAGGTTAGAACACTGGATTAGTACTGGAACCGGAAATAAATTACCATTTTCATTACAAGATAAATTATTTGGTTCAAAAGGTTCAAATAATTATGCATTGAATTGTATACTGATTGTGGTGCGACAGATGGTGTATACTTGCAAAATAAAGAAACAATTGCCCGACTTTGATAGTATTAGAGTTTCGATTATAAATTACTTCAAAAACGAAAAGTATATTGTAAATTCGAATTGTAGAAATAATAAATTCACAAGAAAATGGTTTCAATTCAGGAATTTGTTTACTTAAAATGATATTTGTTCTGTATTTGTTTTTCTTTCCATGAGTGTTAGAAATGAATGATTGATTTGTTAGTTTTCTGTTAACTCAACAGCTCAACAATGTGTTTCAAATGAAAATCAATAAAATCCCTGTGGAGGGAAAAATATGAAGAAAAAAAAATTACCCAAATTACGTGTTAGGCAAAATGAATGCCTGGTCACATGTACGCTTTCAACCAATCATTTGATTAGGATTAACAACCAAATTGTGATCATTGTAAAAACAATTCTTAATTTTTCAGGTAGGTCAATTCTCTAATTCTCTAATTCTAATTCTGTAATTTCTATAATTTCTATAGCATCCAAGAGATTCAAAAAAGGCTCAATTGTAGATTTAAGATTGTGTTGACTGAATAGTAAAGAAAGAATGAACTTTAAAGTATCTGTACAGGTAGACTATGTTTGTCCCGATCACAATCATTCTCATCAGTACATTGTCATTCACCTTAACAATTTATTAATCATGTTTTCTCTTTTTATCTGTTTTTTATTATTATCTGGATATCAAAAAATAATGCAGCATATCGTAAGTTTGATTTGAGGCAAATATATATCTAAGTAAAAAATAAATTCTCATTTACAAAATACAATGATTGTTGTTTTCAATTTGTTTTCTAGTACTAGTAAAAGTGTTACGGTAAGTGCAACTCATTACTGCCACTATGGGCGCCAACAATTTAGGTTTAAAGATAAAGACCAGTTATGGTTGTGGAACTCCCCTGAAGGGGGTCGTACTTTTTAACTTCACGATCTCACGAAGAATAAACTACACTATCAAACAATCAGGTTATGTAATTAATATCAAGGCTTTATTATAGATAATCAACACAAATTATCAAGGGTCGTATAATCGTTTGGTGTACACACCAAAAAAACACACACAATAATCAAATATCTCCGGAGAGAAGAACTCCCTCAGACGGCAAATACCTTACATAAAAATAACAGTGATCACTGGATAAAAATAGTCAACGGAATCGTTCCGAGGGGGTATGAAAAGCCCCGAAGGTTAATCTCCAAGAATACACAGTATAATACAATATCATACACAACAATAACAATAATCATTCATCAAAACAATAACAATAATCAGTCATCAAGATCAAACACAAAAGGGATCATCAAATAAATTAGCAAAGCATTCAAAATACCAGATCAGCTACGGCGAAGTCAAGTTTGATGCTGCTGATGATGCTGCTGATGATAACAGTGACGACGATGACGTGGATGATGATGAGAAGGATGACTACGATGATGAAGACAGCGATGAAGTCGACGATGGCGATGATGTAGGAGACGATGACGAAGAAAGCGCTGATGATGAAGAAGACGATGATGACGAAAACGATGTTGGAGACGGCGATGCAGTCGATGAGGGTCTCGTTGATGATGAGACAGTCAATAAAAGAATGATTCTGTGGTCATGAGTCAGTAATGATCGAAGTGGATGACGAAATCAGATGATGGCGAGATGATGCTCGACAAAAGGATGATCAACGTGTCGAGACAATTAACGCACAGAAGGCGGCAATAGAAACAAATATGTCGATAAAAGATTGTCAATACAATAATGTAGGGTGAGAAGAACCGTAGATAAAAATGTTCTATTCTCACTGCACGAAGTAAAATATAAGGCGATGTCACTGATGTAAAAATAGAGTCGAATTAAGTCTTGCAAAATACTGCAAGACATTTACTGAGCAAATCCACCGGTAAAGGTCCGGAGACAAAGTCACTAAGTCCTCGTTGGACGAAACTTCTACAGGCACGGTATAACAGGAACATAGAAACAAACTTTGCGTACTGAAATAAAAAACCCACCAATTCCTACATGGAAAATCAGAGCGAAGCCCCAATCACTGGTGTAGCGTCATTGGTTCAAAAAGCGCAAACAAATTAATTTGCACGTTTACGCGCTGTTCGTAACAATACAAGATTTACATAATAGAATATATTAACAAACCAGACAGAACCGGTTGGGACATGTCTGAAAAAGCCAGATGGCTGACTACGCAAGGGAAATTAATTCTCCCTAGCCGCCATCTTGACAGTAAAAAAGCAATACTTATTACACATGTACAAATCAATGCATATATATACCTTATTATAAATATAAAAGTTTAAAATCGTGACATTTGGTCACTACATGGTCATGCGATTGCATTGTGAAAGAAACATTGTGGAATCGATCAGAAAAGTGATAAGAATTTTGGCCCAGTCTTCTTAAAGTTACAAGCACTGTACACCAAAAGATGTATATGGGACTACGCACACGTGCATGCTCTCACAGACCAATGTATTAGTCAAAACATATTCTTTCACATGATTGGTAATAAGAGCTTCCATTTCATTTTTTGAAATCAGGGCGTTTCCAATACAGGTCTTTACCTTTAAAACATGCATACAGATGCTAAGTACCCCCCTCCCCCCTCCCCCCCCCCCCCCACACACCTAAGCTTTTGCTTTGACACATTTTTATCTCATTGACGGCCCCAGGAAGTACATGGTCTCCATTGCAGCAAGTAGCTTGTATGTATACTGTTATGTACTCTCTGTTTTTCACGATAAATTTTACAGTTTACTTTTTTATCACTTTTAAGATTTTTTTTTTTAATGGACTTTTAGTGGAGTATAAAATGTCATATACATCTTCTAGGCTACATGTGTAAAGCTTGATAATATACATTTTGATTACTACATCCATGACAATACAGAGTGAAGGAAGCCACTGGAAATAGCATATGAACATGAAAACATGTAGTATGGGTGCTTTTCTAATACACTTGTATACCGGTATGTATTCTTAAACAATTAAATATACATTGTGATCATATCCATATATGTAACAATAATTGAAATCTTTAAAAAAAAAAATCTTTCAGATTATGGCATCTACATTTCTTTCCCAAGTACTGATATTTAAATATTTATAAAAATGGCAAACAATCATTCACATTAATGTAATATGCACAATTGATCATACAAAACGCACCTACAAGTATACTATGTAATAATTTGATCATCAAAATAATGCATACCGGTAAGTGCTAATGAGTTGCATGATTTGATCTTGTATAAATATCACTTGTAATTCTTTCTGTTCAATACATAATCAAACATTTACACTTGAAAAGTGTTCACAAATATTCACAATAAACAAGGCTGTACCGTGTACATCCGTGTTCCATCGATCAATGGTTATCTTTTTTCTGGAAGAAGTCATATAATGTTCTGCATGGTGTGGACTTGGATCTCTTTTTCTTGCTGGAACTTGACCCTGAACCAGAATTACTCCTAACAGGGTAAAAAGAAAGAAGTAAACAATTTTTTTTAAAGGTAAAATCATTTATCAAATTCTGTATTTGTAGCCCTCCACAAAAAACACTAAAAACAAAGAATGATATTGTGAATACAAAAAAGAAACCAGTAATTCATCTCCCCAGAAAATTTATTTCTCCATACATCTGCTTCTTGAAAATTGTGAAATATAACTTTAAAGTGAAGTTTCACAGCACAAATGACCCCTTTAATTGCATAAAAGAGCCGAACTGTTCTTTCTAATCAAGATAACGTTCAAGTGTTTCAGGCCTGATAATTACCCAATTTAAATCAGTTTCCCAATTTTTTTGATTTTTTTTTTTTCCCCCCAGTTTTCCTGATTTTCCCTTATTTTCTCTATTCTTCCCTATTTTTTCCCAATTTTCTTACTCAAAAGGGGGGAATGTTGTTCGAAACCATTTTTTTTCCCCGCAAATTCTCTCCTTTATTTTTTACTCAAGGGGGGCGTTGTAGAGGGAAAAAAAAAACTTTATCAATTGCTATATTTTTGCCACATTCACTGATAACGTACACCAGGCCTTCTCAACTAGTTTATTAGACATGCCAAAACAAAAAGAATCTGTCCCCAGCAGGGGGTAGAGCCCCTTGAAACTGGTGGATTTTAGGGCTTTCTAAATATCAATCATAATTTCATATTGATGTAAATTTATATGTAGTTATTTTGGTGCAATAAACATAGGAAATATCCAAATAAAAGGGATCCGGTAACTTTGTCTCAGATTCTGAAACAAAAATCCTGGATTTAGCTCATGCTGCAATGATAATTATAAACCTTTAGGTCAGTCAGGAACCCCGTGACTTTTACAAGCCGATCACCTGTCTGATTATCAAAATATTTATGGCTGGAAATCAAAACCAAGTTTTGCGTTTTCCTAACGGTTTTCATAACACTACAGTCTATTGGGGAAAATGAGTATGGTAAAACCGGTCATTCAAAGATTTTTACTTTTTTGAGGCACTTCTTGATCATTTTGAAGCGTGACTTTTTGGGGGGCTTTAATAGTACACCATATCACATAAACTGATGGCACGTAGGACAGTGCATCTCAGATTTAACATTGTTGAACGATGCCTTTAAAGTGAAAATCAAACAAACAAAAACGAGACGTTTCTAAAGATTGGCAATTTAAAAATTGGTAGCACATTGTAAGCTTATTGTTGTTTAGAGCTCAGATTTAGAGTCATATAAAATAGTAACAAAATTTAAATTCCCCTTTCTTCCTCGACTGCTACTTCTTGATTTTGCTGAGTTCTTAATTTTTAAGTATATATATATATATATATTTTTGCAACAGTCGCGCGCCACTCCGAACTGACAGCAAGCGCCACAAGTGGCGCACCGCCAGTTGAGAAGGCCTGACGTACACAATATGACAAAAGAAAACAAGAAAGGGAAGATCCAATAAGGATATGATGCCTCAAATGACAGGTTGAATCCTTATCAAAGAAACCGCAATGAGCTGAGGTAGCTGTGGTCTAACCAAGATGTCCCAGGTTCAAAACCAAGTCAATGTGCTAGTGCCCTTTGGTAAGGCATTAATCCTCATTACCAAGTCCCTCAGAGATGACTTAAAGCTGTTGGTCCCCTGGTTGCTTACTTTATACATACATTTTCTTAGCAGTCGGGTAAAACAAACTAACCACCCAGCCAATCACAATATGATTACCAGGTATATATTTACATCACTCTTTTTGTTCATGGGAGATCCTTTTAGATTTGCTTAACAGATTTCCTCACAGTAATTTAGTTGCATTCATTTGGTTTGCTTTCAATTATCAGAGCTCTTTTGAACTTTGGGACTTTAGGGTCTATATGGGTATTTTGTTCAGGCTTTGGGGATAAAACATACCGGTACCCCTACCAATTGCTAAATAGTAAATATCTTTTTAATCAATTTGTTTATAAGCTCTTCATAGATACCTTTTTCTTGAATGTAGCTTCTTTGGACCGCTCTTTGTAAGCTGATTGTTACTGCTAGAAAAACTTCTTGACTTATCTGTCACAGCATACAACAATAGAAGTACGGTAGATGATATGAATTTTGCTTTACTTTATACTGTAGTTTAGCCATTCCTTTTCTTCATACCAATTTTAACCTATTTTCATATTATATTTCTTTAAAACCACAATACATATCATGTATTGGATTTGGACCACTGAATCTGTTTATGTAGCAAATAGTATAATGTATTATACTATTTGCTACATATTATATTTATTATGATGAAATGTATTCCAACAATGTTCATCATCAAATCCCTGTAAAAATATCAATTTCCAATATCAAATAAATAGGCAGGTTGCTAAAAAGAATAAATTTAGAAGAAATATTCCCTTAACAATGTAAATGCAAGTACATGCACATCCTTAGAACAAGATTACTTTTCATAATTTTTCTCTCCAACTCTCCGACTTACGTAAGCAGTCTTTTCTCCTGGTATCCTCATAATCCTTTCACTACATTTCACTTCATTCTTTTTTATCAAGTCTTAAGTGGTTTAAAATCATGTAATGGACATGCCTTACCTCTGTGGAGCATTTCTTTGATGGCCGACTTGTTGAGGCACGCATCTATATGTTGATTCAAGCCCTCAAGGGTGGAGTACGCTCTCTCCTGCCTACAGATGGGACATGTCAGCATCCGTTGTGCTTCAGCTTCCACACTGCTAGTACACTCTGAACCATATTCATCAGATTTAGCATGTGAGTTCATCTTCAGCAATTTGTCCACTCTTTGATTATTTTCTTGATTAAAAATCTCTGACTTGGAAAGCAATTCTGGATGATACAATTGCTTTGTATGTTCTTCCCTGTCAGCAATTGATGAATGCTCATTCTCTCTTCCTGAAACAAAATCGTCTTCGCAGAATGGCAGCCGAGGCTCTAAATGACTCTGACTATGGTGTGGGTTGCTTATAGTCATAGACGTTCTTACATTAGCTGCTGTGATAGCACTCTCAAAGGTTTGTTCAGAAGACAGTTCAGTATCAGATGACACTGACCTATCCACCCTGTTTACACTAACACCAACACCAACTGCTGATTGTGTAGAATCCCTGGCCTCAGGTGCTTTCTTTGATCCTGAAACAACATCCTTTTTCTCTACACGTTCCTTGTTATCAAAACTAACACCAACACCATCTTCAGTGTCGGATGTTAATATCTCAGTGTCGGGTGCTGATACCTTGGTGTTGGGTACTAAAACCTGAATTCTAGACACATCACTCACTTCCCCTGGAGTGCCAACACTGCCACTAAAGCTGTTGTTTGAAGTGCTTTCTTCCAGCAAACCCATGGTGGGCTCTGTGCAGTCTGGTGTAGGTGTAGTGACAGGTTGTGGATTATTGCTCTGCTTCTTAGCAAACATGTCAAGAATGGTTCCTTGTCTGCTCCTGGATAATTTGCTTGCATCTTGAAATGATGACAGCCTCACTCCTGTTGGTAAAAATAATCTTATTTTACATTTCGCAACTAAGGATTGAATAATTATTATTACATAGTATTCAGACTTGTCAGTATGATACGAACAAAAGTTTTGAATGAAAATATCATTGCTTTAGCTAGGGGATAAAGTTCAAGTTCAATTTATTCAAAACCACACAAAACATGATATAATCTTTTTCATAAAAAAAAGACTGGTAATAGTACATTAATCAAAATATATTAATTTGATTACATCATAAAATTAATGGTTTAGGGGGTAAAGATCACCTTTATCCAAATTGAGATACACAAAATTTAAAAGAGTTTTGCAAAAAATCTGTAAATTTAGCAAGCATTATCATACAGTATGTAAGAAAAGGGTTTGGGGAAATCTGTGCCAGGGCACTTCCAAGATAAATATACTAAAGGGGACAGATTATTGTCATAAAATAAAGAGAGAGAATGAAAAAGGAAATGTAAATAATTGTTTGGCAACCTACATCTCAAAATAAGACAGAGAGAGAGAGAGAGAGAGAATGAGAAAGGGTAATTGTATGTCAAGTATAATACATGTAGCAAAGGGAACAAGTTTTAATCTTGGGAAAGGCACCATTTCTGTTACAAGAGGAGTCCTTTTATTTGCCCGAGAATTTCATCAGAGGAAACACGCTTCTCTACTTGGGAGATATACTTATGAACCCCCGCCATAACAAACCAACATGGAATATATTGACCCTGGTATAACACACGAGTTGTCCTTACCCATCAGTCTCAATCTGAGAGGCTGGGGATGACAAGCTCTGATCTCTGTCCTGATCAGATCTCTAGCAATAGCAAAGATTTCCTGGGATGAGCGTACAGGGACCTTTAGCGATGAGGCTCTGCTCTTCACCTCAAAATTGACTGTCTTTAGTTTGACTGTCACTGTCTTGCCCTGGTGAGTTCAGAACAATAGGTGGAAAATAGCATTTATAGAGAACAGCAGCCTTGACATCACCTACATCATCAACATCATCATATCCATAAATATCATCAGCATTATTAATAACATCATCAATTATTTCGTTGTCATTACCATCACCATTATCATCATTAATTCTATCAATAGTAATAGTAACATGTAGGGTTTTATTATGATCATATATTATCTTCATCATCATAATAAAAAATAATCACCATCAAAAATACCATAATCATCATCATTACCACCATTATTAGCACCACCATCAATATTGTCATCACCATCATTAGCACCTTAAAGTATTGTCATCATCATCATTATAATCACAATCATCATCACCATCATTAGCACCATAAAGTATTGTCATCATCATCATCATTATAATCACAATCATCATCGCCATCATTAGCACCATAAAGTATTGTCATCATCATCATTGGCATCACAATCATCAGTAACTATTAGTGATAATATTCTTAGCTGATTCTTGGTTTCTTGCTCACCTGAATCTGTTCTTTTTTAAGATCCTCAGCCAGTGCTTCACAAAGCTCCATACATTTACTGTAAAGCTCACTAGGTATGCTGATTTCCTTAAATGTTCGCTCTGTACTCATGCTCTTCCTCTCACCATCCCTAAATCAAATAGATTTCCCATCAGGAAAAATAATTGATGGAATAACGTTTAAATGCAATCTCAGAGGCTAAGTATCAGATACCTGAAGCTCTTTAGTTTTGATCAAATCAGTGCACCGACATACTTGGTTTGAAAAACCATTCCTCTGATAAGACCTCTTTACTAATAAAGAAACTTTTAAGGCAAAAGATCGAAAACAACTGGGTATGTTCAACATCATCTAATCATTATTGTAATGAGGGTTCTAGCTCAAGAGTGATGTCAGCAACTATCCATCTACCATGTTAGTGGGCAAGCACAGCGTTGAGCATGAGTGTAGGTGACAAAAAAGCTACAGCTGCCCATGCAACAAGGATCATTTGTAAGTAATATTTGTGTGATATGTTTTGTTTAAAAAAATGTTAAATGTACTTTTCATTAGTCATTTTAAATTGCTAGTTGCAGATGGTTTCTTGACGGCAGCAATGATGAATTGTTTACCTCTCAACGTGTGTAGAGCCCAGACCAAGACTGATGTGAAGAAAATGACTGGATGATGTCTGGGAGAAGAGAAGATAGGAGAGAGCCCTCTGCTGGTAGAGATCAGTACAGGTCTGAATTCCGAGAGCACTCAGCATCCTCTCTGTTACCTTGCCAATACCAGATATCTGTTAAGTATTCCAAGGATAACGGTTCTTGAGTTAGCCTAATAAATTGCCAATAGAAAATGAGAATTAAAATAAAAGAGCTGAAGCATGTTTTTTCTTTCAAAAGCTGTGTTAAACACTCTCTATGTCTTGAAAAAGGGTCATCTGATTGGGAGTTTACTGGTTGAAAACTTATTTTCACACAATCAATTTGTAACATTTTGTACCTTAAAGCACTTTCAAAGTTTTCACCCACTCTCTATATCTACATGTATGTAACATATTTCCTCTCTTTCTATAATTAATTGGTTAGGAGTGGAAAGAGAGAATTAAGACAAACACACACACACAAACAAACAGACACATAGAGACAAAAAAACAGAAGAGACAGAAAGTGAGAGAGAGAGAGAGAGAGAGAGGGGGGGGGGAAGGAGACTATAAGATTATAAGAGAAAAGAAGTAATAAAAAGAAGTCACCACAATCTCTCATTTCAAACAGTTATACTAATTTTAATTTCTTAGTGAAAAGAAACATCTCACAGTATTTATGAAATATGAAATATTCAACCATGACTTCATATTTCATCTACAAAATAGTAATGATTACCTCACTGCTCTTTCATATGACGTCACCTCATTTTTTTTAATATCATTTTCAAGTTCAGGATCACAAGCAATAAAGGTTTGCACGTAGATCTAGACTGCATAGAGATATATGCGTGCAATCTTAATGGCAAGGATTTTAGCACACAAACTCGAGTGGCGCGCGATCAGACACCCTATTAAGACTAGGTCTCGATAGCGTAAACAAACTTGATTACCATGATTGGTAAGTCCCACATGTATTCTATGACCCTTTTCGGTATATAAGAGTTATAATGACTGCTTTAATATTCCAGGCATAGTTGTTTTTATAGGCTCTCGGTGAGGTTACATCGTTCTATCACCCCTAGGCACGCCTCGGGGCGATAGCAGGATGTAACCTCCCCTTGAGCTTATAAAAACAATTATATACCTCATTTTAAGATTCTTTACTAATCCTGTCTTCTGATTGGTTGAAAATGCAGTCATGTTCTTAACCATGCCCGCTAATTGAAATTCATAGTCATTTTTCCCGGCTCTACCGGTTTATATCCATTTTTCATAGCACTTTTTCCATGGCTGTGAAACGTGACGTCTTTTTGCTGCGATCCCCATTTTGGTTTACGTGTTACCGTATAAGTTTCTTTTGTGCGATGACCGATGCGCAATACCGTTAACGGTGTTTGAGTGCAATTCGATTTTGGTCGCTGCATTCAGGCGACGAATCTACCAATCCACGCAGCGCAGACGACCGATCGCCATTTTGTGTACTAGTCTCGAAAACTGTGTTGTAAACATCTACAACAAGTAGACTAGACGCACAGTCTGTGTAAATATGTTGCGAATTTGTGAATTTATAAAGTTACTGTTCATGTTCTACTGTTCTACTGGAGCACAGCTTGTTGGTGATATCATCCTGTACAAAAGTTACTGTTCGTGTAAACGTGTTTGGTATTTCCTGTTCTACTGGAGCACAGCTTGTTGGATTTCATACTGTACACAAGTTATTGTTGGTGTTAATATTCATGACTTCAAAGAGATGGAAACCTAAATGGGTGAGTCAACATTTTCCTTTTTTTCGGTATATAAAATATATATTGACTGCTTTTAATATTCGAGGCATAGTTGTTTCTATAGGGTCTCGGGAAACTCACAACCTGCTATGACCCCGCGGCGCAAGCGCCTTGGGGTCATAGCAGGTTGTGAGTTTCCCTTGACCCTATAGAAACCACTATGCCTCTCAAAGCAGTCAATATATCCTTACTATGTCTCTCATAGCAGTCATTATTACTATACTATACCTTTCTAATGGATAGATCCCTGATGAAATCCATAACATCTTCTCTGGATGGTTGTATTCTGTACTGTCCATTAGGCTTGTTCTTGTCTGAGCAGATCTTCGCCAGCATGCAGTTGGGTGCAATACCTGGAATAGAAATGATGTTGGTACTTTAACACACATCATATGATACTGATAGGCTACATTAAAGATTTCAAGTAATCATGACATAAATAAAGTTTCCTCAAATAATTCTTTGTGTAAAATGTTTTGTCAATCTAAGTTTGCACCTATAGAGTCATCCTGGTTGGTGGTTTACTTGCATCTCCTGCTGTGGCTATACAGTCTTATTCTGGAAAAAATACTGGCAGCTGAAGCATGTGTTTGTTAGGCTAAAATTGTTCTTTTACATTCAACCTCGCATAAGTCGACCTTGACAGGACCGAATGAAATGCCTCGACTTAGACACTCTTCAACTTGTGCGTAGGTCATAGAAATATGCCTTACGTATATGTTCTTACATGTACATGTATATTGTTCCTAGGCCTAGCGTAACTGGGGAACGCCACAGCGCAACACGTACGGCTGGCAGCTTAATCGGGATTAGTTTTACCTCATGCTGTGGTTTAAATTAGGATTGTTTTGAAAGCCAAATTGTGATACAAGTGTACACAGACCTTTCTTGGGTACAAGGTATAATGATTTTACCCATAAAATACTTAGGATTGTTTTGAAAGCCAAATTGTGATACAAGTGTACACAGACCTTTCTTGTGTACAAGGTATAATGATTTTACCCATAAAATACTGGCACGCCGACCGCTCCAGCCCCCTAAACCTTTCCACGTAAAATTGTGATCACAATAGGCGGTGTCAGACACAATTTTCCTGATCCATCTTGAACTACCTAGATAAGATAATTCACTTACCTAGGTGACAGACAGGCCAAGAATAATCTAGATAATTGATGGGCCATTACACATGCGCCGTTCAGGTAGATAAGCATTGTGAGATCACACGGTCAATCAAAAGTAATTTTATTAAATGCGTGTTAATATAATTGTGCAAAGGTTATGATAGTGCGTTAAAAACCATATGCCTACCAATCAGTAAGTTGACTTTACACTGACCTTTAACAGGATTTTTTGCGAGAAATTTTAACATCAGTTACAGACAAAAAAATCCAGCGAAAAATCCTGTGAAAAATCTTGATAAAGGAGAATTTTCTTGGGTAGTTGCAGTATTTTTTACAGGATTTTTGTGGGGTAATTGATGACAGACAGCCAATTTTCTAGATAATTGGCCTCTGTCTGACATCGCCTATTAGCTTGTGCAATGTAAAAGCCCAACTTGTATTTCATTTCAAGATCAAAACTCCTTTACTCCTTGTAAAACTTAGTGCAATGCAAATATAAACCCTACCTACTTTTATGGACATTGAAAAACAGAGATCATATAAAGCAAAATAGATCACCCCTCTCTCCCTCTTATTTAGGTAACTGCCCTACATGTAGTCATTAATTCATTGTTTTCTAGTCACCACAAGGTATGGTGTTCATACCTTGAAGTACAGATAAGTTTCTTAGCATTTTAGTACAAGAAAATCCCATTCATCTTTCTCTCTATCTCAAACGTGTATGGCCAAGTTATTTGGTATGTGCGGTGGTACTGCTCCAAATCTCTGAATCTACTACTATAGTTTGTTTGATCCCATGTTGATCATACTAATTAATGTGAACCATTCAGAAATGAATGAATAAATAAATTATTAAAATAAATAAGAAAAATTTGACTTTTTATTATCATAGACTTGAAGAGGTGATCCGACAAATGGGATGTCAATTTGTGCAACATTGACTTTTTAAACTTTAGTATACAGTACTACCTCTCTACACTGTTAACATCAACAGCAGTCACCAATATCTGTGCATTGGGCACTATGCAATATGCATGTTTTAGTTATGCTAGCTTCTATCTGTCAATGCATCTGGAGTTTTATTAAAATTGGGCAAGTCCAAGCTATTTTGTCCCATACATTACTGGCCACACCTAAGATTTGTTCAGTATTTCTGATGATTTTTTTCAAGGACATAGCCCTGGTAGAGCTTAAATCAGACAAAATATAAAATGAAATAATAATCTTATGTCAATTTTTGTTCATGTTTCAATAATATAATACATAATACGACGTAGCATATGCGGTGTACCTTGGACTTGCCAATGATATCATACCCAACACTCACCTGCACTTGCAGTTAGCTTGGTCTTCTGTTCAATTCTGAATCGTATCTCTCTCACCACCTCTTCACAGGTTACTCCAAATGTTTCAAACCTGCCATCTTGTCTCTTAGTCCCACATGTATTATCTTCATCCTCCACATCCTGCTCTGGTTGCTCATCCCATTCTGCTTCTGATCTAGAATCTTCTAGGCTACTTGCATTATTTGTGTTTCCATGACGACGAGGAGATTTCACTTGAATCTCTGCTGGAACACTAAGTACTTTCCCAGAAGTCACTTCTCCTTGCTTTTTGGAGACTGAGGTGAACAGAGATCGATCTACACCACTGCTTGATTGGTGTTGATAATCTCCAGAAGAGCCATAACCATCTTCATCACTTGTTCTTTCTTGGATGCTCACGTTGTTAGCGGCTTTATCAGAAGTACTCTTCTTCTCATCCTCCACCTGACCATGGTCTTCAGCTGAACAGTAAAGGTAGGTTCTCTCTTCAGCACTCATTCTCCGTCTTCTTTCAAGATATTCTGTCAGGTCAAAGTACGCTTCATCTAGGCTCATGGGACAGAAGTTTGGATCATATTCTGCCAGGATCTCTCTCACTTGTTTGCTGACAGCACGATACTTATCAAAATGGGGTGGAACAAGTACCAACTCTGGACACAGCTTCTTCCCAATAAACCCAGGCATGGCAGCACGCACCCCAAACCGTCTAGCCTTGTAATTTGAAGTAGACTAGGATGAAATGAGAAGTATTTATAAGAAATAATGATATTTAATTTTTGTCTGGTAAAATCTTTGCTACTAAAATTACAATTATTTGATTGAGGATGTTGAAATATATGGTCCTAATCCAACAAGCTGTGACAGGCCAATTTTTTAGCTCACAGATCGATATCTTTCAACAAGTGCAGCGCAGCAAAACGTTTGCAACCAATCGAAAAGACCAAAGAGGTCAGAACTGCGTAAATTCATTCAATGGTATTGATTGTTCTGATAACAGCTCACATTTTTATACCGGTATTGAATTTGGATGGCAAAAAAACAAACCACCAATTGCTTCTGACTGGAAATTTGGGTCTGATTTTGGACGAAAATCAATACAAATGGTCATGTTTGCCCCCAAAATGACCAAAATGACCATATTGATATTTAAAAGAGCTTCATTTGACTGCTTTCTCTAGCATCAGGGCACATATTAAAGGTAAAGACCAGTAATGGTCATGCGATTGCATTGTGAAAGAAACGTTGTGGAATCGATCAGAAAAGGTTGATCATCTAGCATCTAGCATCTGCAAGGTTCTGGAATCATCAAAAGGATAAGAAATTTGGCCCATTCTTTGTAAAGTTACAAGCACTATACACAGAAAGATGTATATGGGACTACCCTATATCTCTCACAGTCCATGAGAGAAACAAATTTACCAAATATATGAATATTCTTTCACATGATTGCAGTTATTGAGAGCTTCCATTTCATTTTTTGAAATTGGGGCGTTTCCAATACTGGTCTTTACCTTTAAGAATAGGCCCATCACATCTCCTTCGCTGATAATAACAAGTAGAAAAATTACCCCTGACCAAAAGGGACTATAATGTTTAGTTTTGGCCAAAAAAGTTGCCAAGATGACCAAAACGTTGAGAGTGGGGTGAATACAATTTTACCCCTGATAAGCTTCAAACCTTCCCGACCAAGAATTTTGATAAGAATTTTGATAATATCTCCTAGGGTATACACTGTACATGGTATATGACAATGCCACAGCTGATATTTCTTGTTGACTTTCTCACATGCATCATGTGTAATCAACAAAACGAAGGCGTCACTAGATGGCGCTATGGATTGTGAATCCACAGTATTAAAATTCCATTTTTGTATAACACATATCAGATTATTATAAAACATCTCTATGCATTTCCAAAGGACTTTCAATATTTTTTAACCCAGCTTTGGCTCTGGCCACCGTAGTGCTCAGTGCATTCAAGAAAAAAATCCTACTGAAAACCTATTTCCTACAACTGGGTCAAGAATGGAAAATATAGATTAATGTCTTGCTGCAGCATGGATTCAAACCCCATACTGTGTGGATCACAGTCCAGAGACTTATCCACTAGACCACAACACTTCTACTAGGCCTAATTAAAATGTTTCAGGCTAAATATTTTACATTAAAAATTAAATAATTAACATCCTCATCTCAACATCTCTAACGCAGACATGCTATGCTTTTGACACTTGAAATAAATTAACATTTTAATTGAGTAATTGGACTCGTGCAGTCACTCACTCTTTCACATGACTGCTAAGAAAGCAACATTTGTTTGTAAATAAGCAAGAAGAGGATCTGCTGCTGTACATCCTTTCCAGGAACTTGGATAGAATTAGGTATCACAGAAGAGCTGCGTTGAGTGGGGACACACAGAGCTCAACCACGCAAATTCTCTCTTTGTAAAGGAATATTTTCATATCATGGAAAAAATAAATATTATAAAATTATATGTCTCTCGAAAGCTCAGGATTCTGTCTTTCATGTCATGTCATTTTCATCAAAATCCATTAATTACTTACGACACAGTTGGTTGAGATTTACCCTCTAATTCGTACCGTCTCACTTCGTTTGTCACCATTTTTTTTTTACGGCCGATTTGTATCCCTAGTTTTAGCTCAATTCGCTTGAACGCCATTTGTCTTTGAGTTTTTAAAATCCACTGGTTGGAAAGAGCACATCTTAAGCTTTATTTTCATATAAAAACTGATGGGGGTATGTTTTAAAAAGATCGTTAAAAATCAGAGTGAAAAGTTTGAAACAATTTTTCTATATCAGAAAAACATACTTTTAATTCAATTTTGATATGAGAAGAAAGAGAATTTACTGGAGAATACAATCATGTAAATATTAAGAATGACCGCGAGATGGCGCTAGAGCGCGAATCCGATGAGTACAGCTGTACCCTGAGTATGTACGCACTGAGCGAGAGTGACTACAGCGAGCAGACGCCCACCTTCGCACAGGGACCCGAGGCGCCACGTGGCGCCTCACCGCACCCGCCGATTGCCGTCCCATCAAGATCCGAAACGGAGCACGAATCTGAGGCTTCAAATATCGAAACTGAGGCAGGATTTGCAGCATTTGGCCCCCTGTGCTCCCCCTGGATTTGCCACTGCCATACCCTCTATTGATGTGCCAAAATTCATCCCCCTACCATTAACGGTTTTCAATTTAGGCAGACTTGAAAACGCACAAAAAAGCTTAAGTGTGCTTTAAAATATGAAGTTTTAAGAGTTTAGAGCCATTTTCAAATGCCATTTAAAATTAATTTAAATGGATTTGATGGTCCAAACTTACAGAAATAATTAAGCTATATATATACCCCAGATATGCCGAAATTCAGCCCCTCTTGATAGACACTCTTAAATCTAGCCATGTTTTAAAACCCATGAAAACTTGTTCCGGCGACGCAAAAATAGCTATTTGTCACACGCACAAAATGGGCTTCATATAATTATTCAAAATATTTCACACAAAAAAATATTTGTCTAAAGAACCTGAAAAAAAATAGGCACGTAGAAATCCATACAGAGAACAGATTTCTTGAAAAGAAAGGTGATGCATCAATTAATTACAAAATTATGTCACCTTGAAAATGGCTAATTGTCAGTTATAGCCTAATTACGCAAAATTTGACCATTTCGTCTCTTATGTAAGTGGCTGTATTTTCAAAAGTACTTTTTCAAATTTGACAAATGAGGTATCAAAACTCCTCTTTCCATGTGCTCTAAAATGAAATTGGCAGGGGAAATGAAATGTAGATACTTTCAAACTTTAGCTGTGATACCTAATAGAATGTGCATTGCCTTACTAAAGGGCACTGGCAACACCTTGACTTGGATTTTGACCCAAGGACCTCAAATTAATAGGAGTCTGCTCTCCTACTGAGCCATCACATCTGTATCGAGCATTGGGTAGACCAGCTGGACAATACATTTAGGTTTAGGTAAACAGGGTAGATACAGTACCATCTGTACAGAACCCATGCTAGTGAAGTAGATAGCTCAGACGTGTCAGACAATGCACTGTAAATATGGGCGGGCTATGCCTACTTACCAGCATACCCATGCCTCCAACTGCCATGGGTTTCTCCTGTAGCTCAGGGTCATCTCTCATCTCAACAGCGGCATAGAACATGTCCATATCAAGATGAACGATGATCCTGCTCAAATCTCTGCTCAGCTCCAAGTCTCTTACCATCTCATCAACCTGACATGAATTCAACAAACACACACAGCTGTTTACTATTACACAAAGACGTTTATTCTGTAATATTATCCTCAAAATAACCCATGACCACTGGATGTCATGGCCTTTAATTGCACTTACAGCAAAAAAAATGCAAAAGCCTTTTTTCTTTTGCCTTGGTGCCCTTTTCTAATGCTTTTCTCTTGCAATTGGAAGATGCCAACATTGCTACTAAATTGGTGTATTCAAAGCTGTGACATTTTCATGAGCGAAGAAGGCTATATACCAGTATGTCCCTCAGCCCCTCACTCTAATTAACACCATTTAACACCAAGTGGTACCCTAGATCTTGCAGTATATGTAAATGTGCTTTGGAAAATGAATGCCACTCTTTGATCCCTTATAAATAGCCTTAGGTGTCCCAACTGGCAAGAGCTAGGGTCCCTGCCCTTTTACCTAAAACTACCCCCATTTACAGAGGGTTTTTTTACACATAGGACTTGCCCCTTGAATTGCCAATTTAAGGCCTGGTCGCACATAAGGAGTTTCTGTCTATGGGACACAAGTAACATGATTTTTACCCCCTCAGAAGCAATTAATATTGTTCAAAACAATCACTTGGTTCAAACAAAAAGAAGGGCTTGACACTTCACAATTTTTTTCTTGAGGGTCCAGAGAAAAATTAGTACGGGCCTTTGTGCACTGGGTCTCTGTTTGCTTTGTGATAGCTTGAGGCACAATTGATACTTGTTAACAAGTTAATATAAACTTCAAAAAAAATTTAGGGGGAAAATGCCATACATACAATTGAATACAAAATAATGGTATTTGTTTACCAGCTTTGCAGTGCAAGAAAATGATAGGGTAAGAATTCTTTGTAGATTTTTTTTTGTGAATTTGGTATATAAAAGATATATGGAACTGCCTTAATATTCAAAACAAAGCTGTTTCTATACTGGCTCTCGGGGACCGTTGTTACATCCCCTTGAGCTTATAGAAACAGTGATGCCTCTCATAGCAGTCAATATAGCTATACTAGAGTTGTAACATCACAGATATCTCCAATTCCGTTTAACTGCTAGTCAAAACCGGACGGTTTTCGGCTAAACGATTTTATATAAAAAAAATCATAATAATAATAATTTTGTTGTTGTTGTTAATTTGTGTTTTAATTGGATAATCAAAAGAAATCACATTATTAACAAATAATGTAAATAATTAGAAACAAAATCACTGAACAAAAAAACAGACTTTACTGTCGGGCATGCTATGGAACTATGACTGGGTTTCACTTTGTTTATGAAGCTAATGAATCTAGTACGCAGTATTGGGTATTGCAGAGGTCATGATTTGGGATTTAAATGGCATCAGTGAAGTATTGTGCATGTATTTCAAGGCTGGGAACTTAGTTTTACGAGCCAACTTCTCAATCTATAATCTTGCAATTGATTGTTATCGTGTAGATTGTTGCTTCGCAATTCAACATTCTAACAGTCGGGGCTGATGACTATAATTAATGTCGCCCAAACTTTTTTTTTTCAATGATTTTGTTTCTAATTATGTACATTATTTGTTGATAATGTGATTTCTTTTGATTTTCCTGTAAAAAAAAATGATTTAAAAAAAAATAATAATAATAATAATTAAAAAACGGGAAAACGAAACCGTCCAATTGAAAACGGATAGTGCCATGGACCATCGGATAGCGGACGGTTAAACGTTTGACTACAGCACTAATCTATACTATGCCTACAAAGTTTGAAAGAAATCGGGATAGAGAAATAGACCTAAAAAGCGATCACAAGCACTGCGTGCAAAAGAAATGGATTAGGAATTGATATGAAAAAAATGCACTTTGGGGAAGAAGATTACAAAGAATAAAAATAATTCTGAATGAGAACGATTGCAATAAATTTGGTAGTTGTTAAATTTATTTAACTTTCCATACAAATGGCTAGAACATACATTCCACAGATAATAATAATAATAATAATACATTTATAGAGAGCAGAAACTATCCAACATTAAGTACATATTCTACTACGCTACAAGAGCTCCTGATAAATTTACAGTTATTTGAAAAGATGTGTTTTCAATTTTGATTTAAAGATATTCACAGATGATGATTTCCTGACTTCAAATGGTAAGTTATTCCAGAGTTTTGGGGCTGCACAAGCAAATGCTCGATCACCTATCGTTATTTTTGTTTTGATAGATGGGATCTCGGCAACAAAGTATCTCGGGAGCTGCGCAAGTTGCATAAAGTCATTACCTGAGTCAAAGCAGCTTGTTTTTCAGATTCTGTCAGCTGAGCAAGCTTCTCCATCATTTTGTTGATTCTTTCTGTTGTCTGCTTCTCTCTCTTCTTTTGATTGTCATAGAACCTATTTAACAATGCACGAAAAGATTATCAAGTGCATCTTGATTATGAGTATACATGCAAATCAAGTGTGCATTTTTTAAAGAATTTACATTGGCATGGTGCCTAATAAATAAGTTTAAAAAACAGGAAAGAGTCTAGTGGATATACAAAATTCTTGTGCTTAAAAAAAAATGGGCAACTAGCCAAGTTACAAAATGTGTAAGACAATCATAAGATCATTTAGTTAAATGCTTCTTTTAAATCTCAATTTCTCTGGCCCTTACTTTCATAAAGTCTCTCATTGTTAGCTTCTCTCTTGTTACTACACTATCCCTGTTACCTGACAAAACATTGTCTTGTATACATTCAAAATAGTTATATTTAGACTGTATATTCATTCAGATTAGTCCGAATTAAAAAATAGTGTGTAAACAGAAGAGATAATGCATTTACATTTTACAATATTTTTTTGAGAAGTAAAATAGTATTAAAGGTATGTTGCTGCTTTTGACAGCTTCATAAACAGAAATCTTTTTTAGAACATGTCTCTCCCCTCCCCCCCCCCCTGCTGTATCTCTGCCTGTCTCTCTTCCTCTTCTCTTTCTCTTCTTTCACTCTGACCCCCTCCCTTCTTCCTCTCTTCCCCTCTCTCTCTCTCTCTCTCTCTCCCTCTCTTCATCTCCTTCTCTTACCTTGAACCTTTTGATGCTTCCATGATTATTTTATTGATCTTCTCCTTGTCTAGGCCTTCCATGCCAGCCTTATTTGTATTTAGGTCCATGCTTGAAACCCTGCTGTTGTCTAACTGCAAATCTTTATTTCCTAAGAAAACATGTACATGAAAAAGAATGAGAGAATGGAGAAATTTGGATGGATAAGAAAATTTGGTAGAATAAACATGAAAAATACAAGATAGTCTTAATAAGTTAGGATATTTTGTTTAATTAGAAATAAAACATATTCCTCTCTCATTAGAGATGAAATATATTTATTGAAAGAAAATTGGAGAAATGAGATTAAATAACTTTAGATTAGACAGATAAGAAAGGTATATGAATTATATATATCAAAACCCAAGACATGAAATACCAATATAATGTATAAGAAGTACAGAGAAAATAAAACACAATAAAAAGTGAATTTGATTGCACAATAGACTACCTTAATTACTGATCAGAAAACAAAGAAACAGAATGATAGTGTGTCTATAGTTTAAATTTGTAAAATAATTACCAGAAATGATTTGATGGCTGCTTGGCACTGAAAGAGGAGAGGTAAAATGACCTGCCTGACCTGGGAGGGTTGAAGCGGGCATTGCCCAGTTTTCATCATCTTCCTCCTCTTCATCTACATGTATCTCTTTCCAATCTAAACCTCTTGATGGTGGTGTATTCATTCCTGTTGATGTACAAATAATGAAAATGTTACCATGGTAATCAAAAAACTATGAACTAGGTGGGCATTACAAATTAAATAAACATTAAGCTTTATGGTATCACATTTAACATTTATTGTGGCCAATGTGGCATGACCATAGTTCGGCGGACTGTCCCATATCTCAAATATCTGTAAGGTTTTGAAAATCTGATATCACCAATACCCAATGGAAAGAGGCTAGAGGAATATAAAATTACCTAGTGATGAAGTTTTCTCTGTTATTGGATGTGAACAAATATTAACTAACCGACAAAAGTCTGGAAATCTCCATTTTGAGAAAATATGTTATCCATAGTAGGTTTAAGTTATGACTGTCTTGTCGTTGGTTTCGAGAATGCATGAATGTACTGCAGTACAGTGCTGCTCTTAATACACAGTCAGGCCAGGGGCACTCCAGCAAAGCATAGAGGGTCAATGCTAATGCGTATTGACCTCTAGCGCTAGCGCTGCACCACGTGATAATTCTATAATAGGCAGCAATTGCACACATAAAAAGTCAATACACAAATATCACGCAAATGCACACAATGATGCCGATGTAGCTGTAAGCAAGTTTGATCTAGATGGCCTAGATCTAGATGGATCCGGGCCAACTCGGACCAGGGGACAACTCGCCCAGCTGCAAAAACGGTCATTTTTTGTCATTTTACCCTAACTCTAACCCTAAACCTAAACATGCAAAAACTGACCGTTTTTGTACCTGGGCCGAGTTTTCCCCGGCCCTGGTCCGAGTTAGCCCGACTCCAACTCGGCCCAGGTACAAAAACGGTCAGTTTTTGCATGTTTAGCCAGGTTTTAGGGTTAGGTTTGGAATTAGGGTTAGGGTTAGGGTTACGGTTAGGGTTAACTCCGCCGATCGCTCGAAATTGCTGAATATGCACGACTTGAACAGAGCCCTTCAGTAGGCACATTCATGGGGCACTAGAGGGCGCTTCGCGAGCGTACGAAAATCTGAATGGCCTTGCTGCGGTGGGTCGGCAATAATCAGCCCAAAACTTGGATATGGGAGGGTGGAAGGATATATCTTTTTTATAATGTTATCCGGTCTTACCCCTAACCATCCTATGTTTAATCTATGTAGAAATAACATGGGAGTACGATAAGAGAAACATCAGGCCCATTACTGATGCAACTTTTTAAATATTAGCCTAGAAATGACCACCAAACGGAAAAAAATGACATTTTTTTCCGACAAATCTTCATAAAATCTGAGTTATAAACAACTCACAACTAGGCTCGGTAATGCAAATACGATTTTCTGAAAATTCAGGTGTGATTTTTTAAGTTTCTTTTAAGTATATTTCTGCGCATCGCAGCGCAAATTTTCTTCACTGCTTCAAAATCACCCTTGAAATTTTTTTTTGCAACAAATTTGATACGGGGTCCGCGAGTGTTCCCCTTTCCTTGCGTGTTGAAAGTTTGGTAATACAAAGTTTGCATAGACTCGCGCACGAAAAAATGGCTCGAAAACAAATGTCAAAACGAGAAATAAACAAGCTTTTGTATAGTTATAAGAGATCTACCGAGGTTTCTTTGTCGATATAATTTATTATATAGTCCCAATTAGAATTCAGAATTATCTCACTGAAACCGACGATGTTCTCGATCGTAGTTATTTTCACTTTGCCAGCAGACGTTCTAGCATGGTTTTGGCAAAAAGCTAGCCCGCCACCTTCCCACCTCGAACCTTTCGAGTTCCGCTAAAATTGTGCGCTGCGGAGCTCCGAGGGTGCGTTGGTATCGCTGGCAAACTCTCGGGCGGCTAGCTCCCCACGACGGACCATTCGCGGTATGGCGAGAGTGTGTGTGTGAGATACGATTTTGGATTCGAGAACGCACGTACCACAACCGTGCGCGTCATTTTCAGCTGTCGAATGTCTACGACCAATTTTACATGTACGATTTTTAGTACAGATACTTGGTCAGTTTTCTTCTTATATCTTTGGTTTAACAACATTTAAAAATATAATTTCTTCAAATTTGCTCCTGACTCGGTTCAGACTAATTGTCTGATGTGTTTTCAAGTAAATTTCTTGAATATATTTTTTTGCATGAATTTGCCTACCTTCAGCTTCTCAACCTCGTGCATAATCAGCGATTTCGAGCGATCGGCGCTCGATATCATGAATATTCATATTTTCTTCGCCACTGCCACGCATGCGTACCTTCTCATCGCTATTTTGGATCGACGCTGCGACATGGAAGAATCGTTGGTGTAGTATCCCGAATTAACCTTTTTTTCCCATCGAAGACTTCTTCAAATTAATCATTCAAGTGATTGGAGTTGAGCCCTGAGGAGTCGTGCACCCTATGATGTAAAAATTGTAAGTACTCCCTTTGCAGATTTAACGATAATATCACCCAATCGGCTGTTTTACTAGCCCACACGAGAAACCAACGAAACCAACCGAAGCTCCGACGCCTGCGGCGCCGTGTTTGAGCTTCCCGGAGTTAGGTTAGGGTTAGACCGAAAGCTTCAGTCTCTATACCGTCGGTTGTTCCACTGAGACTACGTCTGGCTCCACTAGACCTCCGGTTATAGAGACTGAACGATCGCCTATGCCAGCCTATGTTGAAGATATCACGGCTAGATTTTAGCCGTTAGGCCCCTCCCACAAACATGAACAAACTTGCCACGGCCGTATTGTTACGCCCCAAAAATCCCCCAAAATGTCATTTTACCTCGTGCATATCCAATTTTACATTAGGCCTAGGCTATAATACATCGGTTCCACTTACTAACTTGATTGAAATAATCCGTTTAATGGTCCCTTTTAAGGAAATTATGGGTCAAAATCGACATCCATGTTGAAAATCTTGCAAGCCGTGTTAAACTCTCGCTGCCGTCAATCTCATCCCTCTAGTCTACGCCGAAGGCAAAATGATTATGAAGGAAAAACTGTCCGCCATCTACACGTTCGTAATGGCGTTATCACAGTTTTTCCTTCATAATCGTTTTGCCTTCGGCGTAGACTAGAAGGGATGAGATTGATTTAGACGACTCCGTGCGCAGCGAGAGTTTAACACCGCTTGCAAGATTTTCAACATGGATGTCGATTTTGACCCATAATTTCCTTAAAAGGGACCATTAAACGGATTATTTCAGTCAAGTTGGTAAGTGGAACCGATGTAGTATAACCTTCTCCTAATTTTAAATAATCAATGCATGAGGTAAAATGACATTTTGGGGGATTTGGGGGGCATAACGCCACGACCTGAAATGGCCGTTGAGTTATCAAGGGAATGTGTATAGACGGTTTCCGTCTCTAAAGAGAGAGCCGACCCTACCCCAATAAGAGGCTAACGAACGAAAGAGACGGAAAATTCGGTCTAGGTTAGGGTTTGAGTAGGGTGTCTGATCGCGCACCCGATGTTGTGTGCTAAAATTCTTCCCATAGAGATTACACGCATCCCTATGCAGCCTACGTGCATTGCGCGACCATGCAAAAAAAGTCAATTTTTTTTTTTCAAATCGAGATTCAAACCTTTATCAGTTGTGATCCTGAAGGTGATAATCAATGAATGAGGTGTCATATGAAAGAGCAGGTGAATTCCAATATTTCCAAAGGGGCGTAGCCCCCGAAATTCTAAAAATATCTTGGTCAAAACAGCAATTTAAACATTGTGTCCTGGCTAACTCTGAGGTTTGTCACTTTTGAGATATGACGCCCCGATCGATAAGTAGTCCCAGTCCTAAGGAACAATTCTATGTGATTATATTTTCGCTAGCCCCCAGGGATCACAACTGATAACAGTTTAAAAATACCCTTCTCGCTATTTGGTGGATCAGCTAATTAGGAGGCGTGCGCTCCGCTCAGTCCAAACCATGGTTACATCGCGTAACATCTCCGCGCACGAACGAAACCCCAAATTATAGTGACTGAAATTATGGTTGGCAATTCCCTCGATAAACCCGGAAGTGAATACACGTTATAGTCAATGGCAATATCGCGGAGACACGTGCGTTGTCTCCGCGATATTGCCATTGACTATAACGTGCATTCACTTCCGGGTTTATTGTGCGACGAACGCCAACCATACTAGTCAATCGCACATGTCTCGGAGACAGCGTAGCTCAAGCTGCAAGTCGCGGATTGGCTTAGCAGCATGCGTACGATATGCATACGCTTGCATATCGCGCGATACAGCTGTTTGGCTAAATTTAGCAAAACAACATCACTCTGCGTGGACGTCTTTTTCGTCGATTTTGACCAAAATGATATGAATATACCAGCGTGTTGGAGGGGCTGTAACTTTTGATAGAAACATCGGTGAGACTTGAAATTTGAAATGTATTATTCTGATAACATTTTTTATTCAAATATCAAACAAAAATGGTGAAAAACGATCCCAAATTGAAAATTGAAAAATCGTTCAGACACCCTAGTTTGAGTTAGGGTTAGAGTTAGGGTAAAATGACAAAAAATGACCAAAAATGACCATTTTTGCAGCTGGGCCGAGTTGTCCCCTGGTCCGATTTAGCCCGGATCCATCTAGATCTAGGTATAGATCTAGTAGATCTAGGTCTAGGTGAGTGAGTAGGCCGTAGGTCTACGTTTGTCACTTTGTGATTTTAACATGAAAAGCAATGTGTGGGACATGCATGCCAAAAACGCTGGTTAACTTTTTAGAACTTCTAGAAGAACGCCAAACAAAAAAAATGTAATCTTACCTGGGCTTCAGTGGCCGGCTTTAGTCTAGATACAATGAAGCAAAATATGTAAACTGATTAAATGAACAACAGGACAGGTGCATGCATCAAGCAGCTTCAGTCTAAATAAAAATAACACCGTTCAACCAAGTATCACTGCTGCACTGCGCGCGCACAAAAAGAAATTATTGTGTGGGCGTGTCTTTCAAAAGGCCACGCCTTCCTATCCACTCCAACCACAGCGATGCGCTCTTCTAAGTGCTTTTGGCTTTAATACATAAACATTTTTGTATACAAGTTTTTAAGAAAATGTAAGCCAAAAAGGCCAAAAAGCAGTTAGAAAATAATACACTTTGTATTCACATAGTCAGAATGTAAAATATTCTTGCTTGTATGCTTGCCGAACCCGAGGATTGCCCGATATTATTATTTGAAAAATTAAAAAAAATGATCAGGGCTCTCGGGAAGTTGACGAGGTTTCCCTGATACAGGCCCGTAGCCACGGGGGGGGGGGGGGGGGGGGGGGTGCCCCAAGATATCGGTTGAACTTGTTTAGACCCCTCCTCAGGACGTCGATAAATTACATGTATGTACCCACCAAACATCAAACTCTGGCTACGGCCCTGGATACAGGTAAACAAAATTATCATTATTTTTTATTTCAAATCAGTTAAGTGGGACGCACGGAAAAGTAATTTTCTAATAGACCTGTTTTCTAACATCCAAATTATCGACATTCTTTCCTAGGGATCTGTAGTCAGGGGAGCACGGGGGGCACGTGCCCCCCCCCCCCCCCCAAATGTCCAAGATCATGGTTGAACTTTTTAGACCCCTCCCCAGGACGTCGATCAATGTATGTACCCCCCAAACATCAAAATCTGGCTACGACCCTGGATACAGGTAAACGAAATTATCCATATTTTTTATACGCAGAGAAAAGTGATTTTCTAAGAGACCTGTTTTCTAACATTCAAAATTATAAATGATTCTTTCCTAGGGATCTGTAATTAGGCAACCAACACAAAAAAGAGGGAGAGAGAGAGAAGAAAAAGAAGGGAAAGGGAAAGAGGAGAGAAAGGGAAAGAAAAAAAGAGAAAGAAGAAACGAAAAGGGGGCGTGGGAGAAGGAGATCGGGATGTCGAAAGGGCCTTGCCTCCCCTCCCCCCCCCCCCCCCAGCATAAAGAAGAAAAAGGAAAAGAGAAGAAGGAAGGAAATAAAGAGGAAGAAGGAACGGAAAGAAGGGGGATATCAGTTGCAATTTTCCCGCCAACATTTTGTGGATCGGAGGGGGCAACAGGCCCTTCTCCCCCCCCCCCCCCGCCAATAAAAGAGGGGAGAATGGAAAGGGAAAGAGGAGAGCTAAAAGGAATAGTGACCTGCCAGTGTCACAAAAATTAATGAGGTATCAAAATTTGCTCATCTGACCATAATTAAGTGCCCCAAACCGCAAAGCTTTCGTATATACTAACTTTACACACCGGACTTTTGCTTAAAAGGGGAGGGGTGGAGTGAAAAAGGCTCGTACAACAAAAGAAAAGGGTCCACCCGCGTATTGACTTTACACACCGGAATTTTGCTGAAAGAGGGGGGTAAACAACCAGCCTTGCATAGTTATTGTTATTTCAACCGTGGTGTATGTGATAAACTGTTATTATTGACAATTTTCCCGGTTGCCCATGTTCGTTCCAGGCGCACTGGTATTACCTATTCGATCTTTCTTTTTTCGTTTCAACTTTCAATGTTACATTTTTTCATTATCTTTTCATAAGGTGGGCTCGAAAACGATTAACAGCCAATGTGGGCCTCGAGTTTTTTTTGAAAGGTTTAGAAGTGCTGAGTTAGATAATACTTCAATGAGTCATTAAGTACGCCATTGAAACGAATGTTTGCAGGTGAGCCTTTGTGTTATGGTGCTCTCTTAATTTCTAGGACTTATTTAAATCCAAGGGGACTTGGGACAGTGACAATTGTCACTTGGATTTAGAATAAATTCTTTGGTCCTATAGAAATTAAGAGAGTGCCCACCGTGGTGGGGGCTTTGGGAGCTGCCTAAAAGTTCAACGCCCTAAAGAGTAGGAAACTGAAGGGGAAAAGGGGAACTTGAATTAAAAAAGAAGGCCTAGTCTCTGCATGCTCTCAAATCTAAACGTCAATGCTTACAAAATTGAAAAATCTTCTCGGCGCTCATTCACCACGCGCTCTTTTAAGAGTCATTAGAACCCGCCTAATTAAGGGACTTAATCTTTTAAAATAATAAAGTGTCTCTTTACGGAACTGTAGAACATTTTCTGCTTCATGAATTCTCAAATGCACTTTTGAACCACGCTCCCCTCCCCCCCCCCCCCCCCCCCCCCCTCGCGCCCCCCTCCCTTCACACCAACCCGTGTGATACGCAACACCAAAATTGATGTTAATAAAAATAATTGTTTTAGTGCAAATAAAAATAGGCGTCTTGTTGGGGTTGTCAGGTCCGGTCTCCCTCCCTCTTTCCCACTCTCTCGCTATCTGGTAGTCCTGTAGAAATATTTCAGACCTGGAAAAGTTGATAAGTACAAGGTTTTTTGTTGATTTCTGTTCTAGATGGGTACTGAATTAAATTCAGCTTGGTTACCATGCAGCTTGGCAACCTTGGGCAATTTTTTTAATAGCCATATTAGCGTAATCATCTAACTAGCATATATTTTTATGTGCAATATGTAATAATGTTGCTAATCTCAATCCATGAAGCCTGAAAACATGAATAATACTACTTTACTAGGGTTTTCTATGACGAGGAATTCATTTATGACACCAGTTTTCGAATCCAAGTAATTAAATAGCATAATTAGCATATGTGCAATGTATGGACTTCATTGTCATTGTTTATCTATAAAGCCTAAAGATGGTGCAATGCAACATTGTAAATCACTTTTGAAAGACTAATCATTAATTCATGAGAAGATATTCCATGTATAAATATTATGTAGTATAATTAGCCTATAATAAGCATATATGTGCAATATGTAATAATGTTGCTAATCTTAATCCAGGAAGCCTAAAAATATGGATATTGGATAATATGACTTTTCCAGAAATTCTGCCACAAGCTCAAGCTCGAGTTTGTACTCTCAATGGTTCTGGCTTTGATAAACATAGACAGATCAAAGTTTCCACTGTATTCAACATCCCTATGTACGTACCTGTCTCACCACATCATCAATTCCATCATCATCATCTGCTCTAACCATCTCAAGTGTGTTTCCGACAGTCTCTCTAAATCCAATGACTGAAGCCCAAGCATCAATGCGTATGATGACCCCGTCATTTCCTAGACAGTTCATGAGGTTCGACAACATTGCCTTGCGACCAAGATAAGCCCCACTGTTGGACATACAATTTTCTACCCGGTAGAGTCCCAAATAATTTATATTCTACAAATATGCTAATTATGCTTATTAGTACAATAATAACATATTAAGCCAATTGCATTACATAAAAACTGGTGTCACAAATGAATCCCTCGTCGTGGAAAACCCTGGAAAAGTCATATTATCCATGTTTTCAGTATTCCTGGATTAAGATTGGCAACATTATTACATATTGCTCATACAGTGTATATGCTAATAAGGCTAATTATATTACATCTACATGGAATATCTTCTCATGAATTAATGTATAGGCTTTCAAAAGGTGATTTACAATGATACATTGCACAATTTTTAGGCTTTGAACGATGGCAATGAAGTTCATATAATAATTATATGCTAATTAGCTCATCATTACTAAGCATTACTTAAAAATAAGCACTGGTGTCATAAATGAATTCCTCGTCTTGGAAAATCCATGTTTTCAGGCTTCCTGGATTAAGATTAGCAACATCATTCCGTACTGCACATTATATGCTAATTAGATTATTATGCTAATTAGGCTAATTATACTACATGTACAAGGAATATCTTCTCATGAATTAATGATTAGTCTTTCATAAGTGATTTACAATGTTGCATTGCACCATTTTTAGGCTTTATATATATAAACAATGACAAAGAAGCCCAAACATTGTACATATGCTAATTATGTTATTTAAGACAATTGCATTACTTGGAATAAAAAACTGGTGTCATAAATGAATTCCTCGTCATAGAAAAACCTTGAAAAGTCGTATTGTCCATGTTTTCAGGCTTCCTGGATTGAGATTAGCAACATTATTACATATTGCACATATGCTAATTAGATGATTATGCCAATAAGGCTATTAAAAACGTTGCCCAAGGTTGCCAAGCTGGCAACCAAGCTGAATTTACTTCAATACCCAGCTAGAACAGAAATATATATAAAAATTTAAAAAAAACTTGTCCAGATGGTACCGTCTACTCATATAGATATATACTATTAAGTATATATCTCTATGCGTCTACTGGACTATGGTTGGGCCCCTCGCCTATCTTGCTTGCTGCCATCTAGTGACAAATTTATGCACACAATCTGAATGGATTTTAAGTCACGTGATATCGGTTTGGCCAATCAATTTTGATTTTTGGAGCGGGCCGTTCGTCCGTAATTCGAAAATGTGCATTGTGTATATTTTTGGGATATATATCGGCGACCGAATTGAACGTGTGCTTGAATTCCAGCAGAAGTATCCCATGATAATATAACTTTTCTTTGTCTTATAAATCATCTCATAATCATTAATACAATCATGAGTGCCAAGAACATTTACTACTCAGACAAGTACTTCGCCGGAGACTTTGAATATAGGTGAGAAAGTTGAAAAATACGTTTACGCAACTGTTTTACATGTCCTGTGTCGTGCATACATGTAGCCTAGAGCTAGTAGTGTCGGGTGTGTGACAATGACTGTGATTTTTTATCAGACAATAATTGTGTGTGACAGTAGGCCCTAGATTAGATGTGTTTCGGACAGGAATAATTATTAAATAAAACCATTCCTAGATATCATCAGACTATCTTGGAGGAATAATTCTTCTAATTCTGGTAGATCTAGACTAGATCCTCTAGGCCTAGATCTACTGTCTTTGCTTTTTGATGAATTGAGACCGAAATCGAAATAGATCTAGATCTAGGATTTATTCTGGCCTCTGGACCAGCAGTAGCAGAGTAGGGGCGCTGGTCCGAGAATAAGGATCGTCTTCATAAACTAGTGTAGTGACGGAGCGGAATATAACTTACTGGGCCTAAATCTTAACTATAATTACATGAAAGACTATAGGTCTAATAAGGATTTATCCTACCATAGGCTGTATACTATACTGCTTGAAGTCTGTCTCAAGAAGCGCTTGAAGTGTTGCTCGTTGAGTGGAGCTCCACCGTCGCTAGTAGACCGAAGAGACAGAAGAGACGGGCAATCAACAGTGTTTGTCGCGTGCAGTCTCAGGTTCAATCTAACGTTCCCAGTGATAAGCACGCCCGCGGAAACTACCGCGGGTGTCGCCTAATGCGGGACTTACGCGCATATGCCGCCAGAGCCGTAGTGGCTCAGGCTGAATCACTACACTAGGATCGTCTTTGTAAACATGGACTGATGCGTCCTCAAAAATAAGGACCGTCTGCATTTTCGCAAACGTTTCATATTTTTGATCGGCACATTGGCGATGCAAAAACGGATTCTGCAATGGTTTTCTTGATGCATTTTACATTGACTTTGTAATTTGTACAGAGACTTTCACGTCATTATGAGCAATAAATCCTTGGGAAGACGGACAACCCATGAAAGTAGATGGTGAACTAGGGTTATTTTCACCCGGGGAATCCATTTTTGGCATCGCCAGTGCAGCGGGGCCGTTCTGTAACATGAAACCCCCAGAGCGCCGATGAAAAAAACCGTCCTCGAAAATGCAGACAACACAGTTATTTTTGAGGACGCATTTTGTCTGCATTTATGAGGACGATCCTCATTCTTGGACCAGCGCCCCTACTGTGGACTGGGGACTAATTTTAGTAGAATTCAGAACACAATCCCAAACCGACAAATGTAACAACATTATTTATTAGATCTAGGCCAATCATACAAGCACAATACAAATACATTTTGACAGATCATGCAATACATAAACAATACAAGAGGAAAAGGAAGGGAGCAACGTGTGGGCCAGGGCTCACAAAAGTGAAATTCAACACTATTACCCGGAGGCATGTGAGCCCTCACATGTTGCTCCCAAATCAACTTAACATAACATTGACTTACATACAATATTGCACATTGTTTGAAAAAAATACACCTTAACTCCCCCCCTTCCAGAAACTAAAACAAAAATAACAAATGTATTACATCGCATATTCCTACAAAGATGGATATCACTTAGATGTACTACCAAGGAAATTATAATCGGTATGATACAAGCGGCATTATAATGAGGAATTCAAGATAAGGAGTAATGGAGGCTGGTATCTTCAACAGAGTTGAGAAAAATCCTTGAAATCAGACATAGTGTATAAGTTATCAAAGACGCAGGATATAAAGCTTAGAGTATACAATGCCCTAAACAGTATTAACATGTAAGTGTATAAATGATGTAATAATAATAATAATAATAATAAAAACGTTACTTATAAAGCGCTTACCACCGAAGTCTCTAAGCGCTATACACACAAAATAGACTGATATACAATTACATCTTATACAAAACTAAAAATGCAAATAGAAAATTACAATACATACACGTCAAAGTGAACAGAGTTAATTAATCATCAAACGCAATTTTGAATAAATGTGTCTTGAGACTAGTTTTGAATAGGTTAACAGTTTGACAGTTTTTTACATTTAAAGGCAATCTGTTCCAAAGTTCAGGAGAAGCTTTGCGAAAGGAGCGATTACCATAAGAAAGAGTTGACACAGAAGTAGATACAAATGTTGACACAGATGTAAGATACAAGTATAACGATAATAAAATATAATACCTAGCTCAGTGTTTAATATATAGGCCTGAACAAAGCATGACAAAATAATAATCATATTTTATAAAAACAACCGTGCCTTGACATCATAACAACTAACTCCGGGAGCCCTTCCAGTTTATTCCTCAGCACGAGTACATCCTGACTTATGGATCCTGCTGAGTATCGTCGTATAAGTAGAAGTAGAAGCTCCAACACCGGCGCCGGTGTTGGAGCTTCCCGGAGTTACATAACAACTAGCTCCATGCAGGGAGCTCCGATGCCAAAGGCGTCGGAGCTTCAGACTCGGAGTAGATCTACTCAGACTTATCAGAGTCAGAGCCAGATTTTGAAAACTATTCAAATAGCCGTTTGGGTCACATTTTTTTGCAATGTCTTGTAGATCTAGATCTAGACTAGGGTAGCCTTAAGGGCTCTCTGGAAATGTTTTTTATGATATTTATTCCAGAGAGCCTTAAACGGCTCCCATAGGAGCCTGCGGAGAGACATGTAAACAACACCTAAAATGTGTCCCAAATCACGCTTTCCCCGCACCCGACCAATATTGGACAGTGCCCTTGATGAATTTTGTTGGACTGTCCAATATTGGTCGGGTGTGGGAAAGTGTGATTTGGGCCAATTTTAGGTGTTGTTTACATGTCTCTCCGCGAGCCGTTTAAGGCTCTCTGGAATAAATATCATAAAAAACATTTCCTCTTTCCATTGGTGATATCAGCTTTTTCAAAATCTTACAGATTTTTTTACTCGCCTGCGTAGCAAAAAGCGAGACATAGGCGCTGCTTTTCCGGTGGCGGCGGGGTAGCGTCATCATCAAAGTATAATTTTGAAAGTAGACCTACAAGTTCTTATTCAATGAAACTTAGACCAAAGGGTTATCAAGTATCCCCAATCATGTGAGTAGAATTTCAGCTCACAAAGGTCATTCCAGGTCAACAGACTTGGACTATGTTGTGGCATCATCATCGAAAACTTAACCTCGGGTTAAGTTTTTGAATTTTTAATATTATTTTGAAAGTATAAGTTCTTATACAATGAAACTTAGACTAAAGGATTATCAAGTATCCCCAATCATGTGAGTACCGGTAGAATTTCAGGTCACTATGTTAAGGTCAAAGGTCATTTCAGGTAAACAAACTTAGACTATGTTGTGGCATCAACATCAAAACTTAACAAAAGGTTACGATTTTTAATTTTTATCATATTGTGAAAGTGTACATTCCTATTCCATAAAACTTGAACATAGGGGTTATCAAGTATCAACAATCATGTGATTAGTCTTTTAGGTCAGAAGGTCAAGGTCAAATGTAATTTAAGGTCTGCAAACTTAGACTTTGTTGTGCTATCAACATCAAGATTTTGAATTTTTAGCATAATTTCAAAAACGTTTGTTCAAATTTCATGAAACTTGTACAAAAGGGTATCAAGTATCACAAATCATATGACGCAAATTCCAGGTCAAAGATCATTTTAGGTCAGTAGACTTGGATTATGTTTTCACAACTTAATATGAGAATTAATATCCATTTTTATTATTTGTTCATATTCCATTAAAGTTATCAATCTTGGTACAAATTATTGTAATTAATTCTTAGCCAATATTCACTTCAAAATACCGATTATGTTCAGAGGATTTCATTTTTTTTTTGGGGGGGGGGGCCTGCTAATGGGCCACCCTGCCTATAAATAATGTTCCAACCTCAATTTTTCATCATATCGAATTGCGTAATGCTTCGAGACCACCGAGAGCGTTATCCTTGTTTTAGATAGCAAACTTAGTTCACACACAATATTTGGTCACATCACCATACTAGAGTAAGAGGTAGCCTGGCCTAGATCTAGAGATCTAAAAATTTTCAAATTTGACTTTAAATTGACAAGGATTTTTCAGTATATTCTAAAGAGTAAGTGTGTCAAAAAGTTTGTAACTTATTCAAGCAAAAATATTTTCCCAAGAAAAGATATCCATGACATTTTGACATTGCAATAACAAAGGTTCCCATGTCTGCACACTCATACATTTTATATGCAGTTTTGGACTTGTGGATAAAATAACTGAAAATTATGCATTTTTCTATTCTTCATTTTTTTTCTTTTTCATTTTTATGAATACATTACTTGATAGAGACAATAATTGCTTGCCTGTTGCGTCCTTTGTTAAATGTTTGATTAATTTGAATCACTACAGAACTTAACGCGTCTGTACAGAGCAGACATGGGCACTCTAGCCAGTAGCCTCATGCGCTGCAGTGTGCTAATTTGCAAGGCCCATAGCTTATGGACCCTTGGCCATAAGTATTAAAGGGAGTGTAGCTTGGAAAATACTGGTTAACGCCATTTACATCTTCTTTCGGACAACTGCGCGAGTGCGCGTAAACGAATGGACTTGATTAACGGTGCACTATACCATTGATGACGTCACGGTAACATGATACATCATAGCAATGTTAGTTTGGTCACATGATGCTATGTTGATCAATCACTGAACAGGATTTCATTGATCAAAAATATAATACAAAATATATACAAACAAAAATAACTTCATGTCAAAATGTTTTTTTACATACCCTATTCAGATAATAATGAAACTTAATATTTCTATAACATTATAAATTTAAAGTATTATCCAAAAAATCTGTGGAAAAAGTCATAAGCGATGCTTGACTAGGATGGCGGCCTCAAAAGAAAAATCTTAAGGTGAAATTTAAAATGAAAATGTGTTAAAACGATCTTTGTTTAACATGAGTTTGTGAGTGTACGCGCGTATGTGTATAGTGAATGGTTATTTGATAATATTGTCAAACATTCATGTAATGCTTGTAAAGATATTTTCTTAATATTGCATGTCATGTGAACTTCTTAAAATTACTTGCTGTTTGAAATCAATTGTCTGGATCACAAACATTTTTAGTCATTTGAAGCAGTGTTCTAAATTTACTGCAAGAAAATTTCACATTGTTAGATTTCGCACCAAACATCAACTTGATACAAGATGTAAATTTGTTACCATCATCATAATTATCGCTTTATCAATCTTCAATTTTGCATCTCCCTGTGCTTGATCTGAAATGCCATAAATCAATTATCAACATGCCATGTATTATTTCTCTCCCATTGACCATAGGCATGTGATGCTGCCCAAAGACATAGCAAAGCTAGTACCGAATCATCTAATGTCTGAAAAAGAATGGAGGGCGATTGGTGTTCAGCAGAGCCAAGGATGGATAAACTATATGGTCCATTCACCAGGTATGAGTACAAGAAATAACACAATGAGGGATTGAGCTGTCTGTGAAATTGAATGCACATGACAGGCCTTATTGACAGTTGCAAACTTGCAATGCCTAATTTCACTTTCCCAATAGGAAGTCTAAAAAAGAGCTTGGGTGATCAAGCAATAACAATGTACATATTTGGGTTTGAACCACAACCCAGTAATTTTTTCTAAGATATACATGTGCATCCCAAGTCTGAAATCTGGAAATGACCAACCACATGAACAAGTTTTTTTGTAAACAAATCATATTTGCTGACTGCTGTGCAATTTTACTTCAAGGTCATCAAAAATAAATTAATAGTAACATTTTCCTCAAATCTGTTTGATCCATTTCTTTGGTTTGTACATGTACTTCTATAAAAAGCAACATACATGTACAGTACATGTATTTGGCGACTTGGAGATAAGTTTTAAAAGTCAGTATGAAATTTAAATTTGCAGCGTAGTGGTACATATACATTAGCCTTAACACAAACAATAGGTACGTACATATCATAAACCTGGGTACTGTTTTTTAAATTTACATATTTTTCTAGAAATATGTTTGGCTTTAAAGAGAAGGTTGAGTTCTGGGAAGAGGTGACAAATAATTTGTGAGCGTTATCATTGTTATTATGCAAGTGTGGAAGAACATCAGATAACAAATGTTCCCTGAAAAGCATTGCTCTTCAAATGCCTTAATAAATATGACATGTAACAGCATAAAAATAGGGACAGATTTTTACGCCACATGTTCGTGTAGTCCCATATACGTAACTTTACCAAGACTGGGCCAAATTTGTTATCATTTTGATGATTCCAGAACCTTGCAGTACACACCAATACTTATATGCTAGATGATCAACCTTTTCTGATTGATTCCACACCGTTTCTTTCACATGACCAGAACTCAACTTTATCTTTAAGACTTTATGTTCTGTATGCCATTCATGTGTTAGTTGCCAGCCTCCAATGAATATTTGTATACATGGACAAAGTACAATGTAAATATTTATTAATTATGCTTTATAGCTTTGTTTGTTAATCTTCTGAAAATGATTTTTAACATACTACACTCTTGTCTTTGCAATTCTTGAACAGAGCCTCACATCCTTCTCTTCAGGAGACCAATCACAAAACCACTTGGGGATCACAACCAATGACCTGTGAGATTCTGAGAGGAATATCAACCAGTGTTACAATATAGCCATAAGAGCAATGAACTGGAAAACAAACATATTTGTCAGCTGTGAATTCTTCACCCATCAATACTGCTCCATCTTTGGACACAATTCAGATGCAGACTTGGTGAAAAACACAAGGAATGATAATTTGCTCTTTTTTTCAGATGTAATTTGTGTATTCTATTTATGTATCAAATCAATAGATATATTGTGAAATAAGATATCTTATGCTTGGATGAAAACGGGAGGAAATCAAGTGCCTGCAATAAAAGTCCAAACACTTAGTACCTTCATTTCATTTCTCTGGCAATGCTAATGCCTATTCAGTAGTCACTTTGACTTTGTTAAGTTTGATTGAACCCTTGTTTTTTTCCACTTCATAAACTTCTTCATGTACCCTCTCCATTTCTATATTGACATATAACTTGATCTTCGGTAAGCGTCACTAAATTAATATAAAAGTGATTCCGTTCATTTCTCTTTGTACAATTTTGACAAGAAGTACAACAGCATCTCAGGAGTCAGAATGGCGTTGATGTTTGTGGTAAAAATATATGAGTTGAACTTTATGCCCTTCTGGCTGTCAGCAGGAGATATAGCAAAGAAAAATCCTTCCTCCCTTGTTTTGGTTTAAAGAAATCTGGTGTTTTTTACTTTCTAGGACAATTACCCCCTAGACAATCAACCCCCAGGGCAATTACCCCCCCCCCCCCCCCCCTCCCCCTTGGAAAATTATCAATAGGACAAAGGGTGATTTCAAGTTTGATTTCGAAAGCTGGTGTTGGTGTTATGAAAACGTTTGACGATTAACACACGAACAAGTCACATTTTAGAGCATTCAGAGTATTACATAGTGTCTTTATTTTCCTCTCTGTCAATCCTAATAAATTTTATTTCAGCCTTTTCAAATTATTTATGCACTCCGATGGAGGTGGGAGGTTTCCCCACTTCTCTAGTTTTGCCAACGAGTAAAGTATAGAATTTTAATTTCTTAGAAAATTAACAATACCGGTATCTTGAGCACAGATAGGTACAAACATGTTACAGTGTGTCTTCCAAAATGGCACAACAAAGAAATGAAGGTGATGTTTAAATTCTGTAATGTCTTATTATACATGTATGCATCCTCTGTAGTTCCTCTGTTATTTCCCTACCGGTATTCAGATAATCATGTAATTGTCTTTGTTTTTCATAATCTTTTCAAAAATTAGAATTTACTTCAAGTTATGTATATTTTTGTTGATGTTGAAGTAAAAGATGTTTTCTGGAACAATAATTTATTTTGAAAATAAACTTGCCTTCAAGTTATTTACAGTTAAGCACTAAATTATTCAAACCTTTTCCAAGTTTGGCAATTCTTTAAAGGGAAAGTCCACCCCAAAAATATTTTGTTTCGATAGAGGCAGAATAATAAGAAAATCAGGTGAGTGAAAGTTTGAGCAAATTCTGAATGAAAATAAGTTATGAATTATTGAAGTTGTGATCAATCAAATACAAATTGGCAACTCTGTGACTTATTATACGAGCTCTCCTTCATTTGCTTTGTGCATAATATTCCATAAAATCATGTTTTCTTCGTTATTGATGACGGAATATATATTTGTTCCTTGCAGGGGGAGTATAGAAACATATTTGCAATTATTATATTTAGGGTGCATGTATGGTTGAAATTTTTCTTGAGGGAAAATGAAAATTTTAGATTTTTTTAGTACTGAGCAAATGGAAGTTGAGCTCGCATGATACGTCATAGAGTTGCCAATTTGTGTTTGATTGATCACAACTTAAAAAATCCTAACTTCCTTATTTTTAATCGGAATTTGCTCAAACTTTCACTGACTTGTTTCTCTCATTTTTCTACTCCTATTAAAACTAACTTAATTTCAGGGTGGACTTTCCCTTTAATACCGGTAATGTGAAAATAAATTTGTCCTGATTTATATTTCTTGAGAATGTGACATATACAAGTAACATATATACTGTATTTTTCAATTTCATTTACAATTTATTGTCCAATATTGGAAATTTGTTTTGCTCACATTTTACAAACGTACAAAAACTAAAAAGTGGGATAATTGCCTGTGGGGGTTGATATTGTCCCGCGAGTAATTGCCCTGGGGGTGATTGTCCTGATACGAAATCTGACATATGATTGGTAAGAAGGGGGCCCAGGAATTATATTGGGGAAAAAACAATGAGGATGACAATTATTTAATTTACCAAAGTATTGTGGGTGACCTCAGTATGTGCTAGTGCTAATAAGCCCAATATTGTATTGTCCATAGAAAAGTTATGACATTAGGTCCCTACAATCATTCAAATCTGTACTTTAAAGCTAGGTATATGCATTCCAATTTGGTTTCATTAATACTATACATATATTTGCCTTTGAGGAATGCTCATCTCTTTGTTCTTTTGTTTTCCTGTGTAGTGTATTGAGTCTTTGTAGTACATATTTCTTTCGACTTTGTACATATTATGTTGAAGAACTTCTTAGCATCAAAATTAGATGTTTGTGTTAAATTTGTACTTTATTTCCAACGCTTTCATAATTTTCATTGATGAAATATGTTTGATGGCCATTGTATTCCATTCAATGAAATGTCACCTGTGTATAATATTATATTCATTTTTGGTTTTACATGTGGAGTTATCCAGTATAGCATCAATATGAGATCATGGAAAATTATTTTGTTCTTACCACTTGAAAAGAAGAAGAAACAGGTATAACTGAGTTATATGTTTAATTTTGGGTAATTTTTCCCTTTGATACAGTAATGATACATACGGATATGTAACTGTGCATTAATTTGTGGAAATATGATGTATTGATGCATATGCAATTTTGCATGTATTTGGTCAAACTTATCTAGTGATGTATTAAGTATATTTGCCATATTAAATAAACAAACGAACAAAAAATCTGGAGAAAGAAAACTACATTGTAGACCCAGGTAATAAGATGTGAACATTAAAATATGCATTGTACCTGTATCAGGGCCCACACTTCATAAAACTTTACTAAGCTTTACTAAACTAATAGACCGGTTTACTAACATATTCACATTTATGCAGACCTGCCAACCAGTACGATTTAGTCGTATTTAGTACGATTTTTAGAAGCAAATACGACAGTACGATTTTCCTGAATAAAATACGATTTAAAAAAAATATTTAAAAAAACGATTTTTTTTTTTTTTTTTTTTTTTTTTTTTTTTTTTTTTTAATAATTTTTTTGTTGGTATTTTATGTGTGTGTTAGCCATTTTCAATGACAAAATGCCCATTCTGTGCTGTAAAGTATCCTACAAGCATCTCATATCGGCAATTTGGGGATGTTCATTGATTCATCGAACACAACAGTCGTGACGAAATCATGCATATTCAACAAATGATCCATAAAAAAAATTGATCCGCGTAACAGTCCGTGTTTATTTTTAAGAATACAACTTCTGTCAGTAAAATACAACTTTTGGCATTAAAGAATACAGTTTTTGAACTCCAGAGGTTGGCAGGTCTGTTTATGGATGTTTCTTGCCTGGGGACCTAGTGATGAGTTATTCCATTAACACGTTATTAATAAATGAACTACAGTTCTTTGAATCTAGTCAACATACATTACGTGTTGCTATGTCGGGCAAGCTTTCAGATTGTCAAAAACAACCTTTGTTGAAAAAGGTGTGCATTAAATTTGAATACATGTTAGTAAACCGGTCTATTACATAGGGGATAGTAGGCCTACATGCTTGACAACTAGGCTTAATAAGATTTTATGAATTATATAAGCCCAGGGGGGTGTTTCATAAAGATGTTCGTAAGTTATGCACGACTTTACGCACGACTGGAACATGTTCTTCGGTGCTAATCAGATTCTCAATCATTTACATGTAGCACAAGAACTTATCACCAGTCGTGCGTAAAGTCGTGCGTAACTTATGAACAGCTTTATGAAACACCCCCCAGGAAGATAATTTATCCCAGTTCAAACATTGTAAAAGCAAAGAAGCTGTCCATCTCTAATTTGGTGCCTTCAAAGCTGTATATTATCATCTTGTGTCGTCAGCAGCAGCTAGATCATCAGCAGCTAGATGTTGATTTGTATGTGTATATCAAGTCATGAAGAGGGCCATTAAAACCTCATTTATTTTTAATGTCGAAAAAGAATATAGCTTGTGAAGCGTTTTTCTTTCATGTTGATGTATGCAGTTTAATTCGGGCAGTTATAACTTTCATTCCAAGCTATGCACTAATTATATAATTTTATATCATATTTCGTCGTTCGAAATTACATGAGATCCCGCCAAGCGCATTCGCAGTCAATTCGCCGCGCAATTGATTTTTACCGGGAAAGTAATTTTCCCTCAGGTCCGAAGAATGTTATACCCCTTGCCAGTCAATATCTGTTATATTAGATAGCGTGGTTTGAAAATGTAGGGGGGGGTTCATTTTTTTTTTGCCAGATATTTTTCCTTTTTTTTTTCCAAGCATTTTTTGTTAAAAAAAAATGTGGAAAAATAATTTCAAGGGGAAAAAAATTGACCCTCAAATTTGGTGTAATTGGTGACATACAGTCCTCAGAGGGCGACATGCATTGATTAAAAATATATTTATTTCCCCAGCTGGTGAATATAACCATCAAAAGTGACCGGCCAGGAAAATATAACAATTACGATCCTCTCAATTGATATCACGTGACGAGCTCTGGACCAATCACATCTCGGATTCTCGGTATACCCACTAAACTCAATATATTTGGACCATGAAATCTTGTCTTTCCACTTGAAAGTCGACATGATGATGGGAAAAATGGTACAGGGTGTATCAATGAAAACAATGAAATGGGAAAGGTTGAAAATCCAAGGCTCGTTATGATATGTGAAACAAGTTTTTGACCTCTTTGGACCCATTTAGTGTAAGCCTTGGTATATGTGTATGATTACAATTACAGTTGTAATTAGAGTTGTGATTGATCAAAATTGATGAATTGGAAGTCTGTTAACACAATATTTACTTATTTGAGACTTAAACCAAAAGAATTCATGAATTCATAGAAAATTACCTATTTTGCAAAAAAAAATACAATCTCTATCAATGTAAACTTACAATTACAAATTGCACAATATTAGGGATAATAGCAACCTCTCAAACAAGGTCTTGAATTAAATTCACAGGAAAATAATTTTCCTCAAGTTATTACACTTGATCATTCCATTCACGCACAAAACAAAAAATCAAACCAAACAAAATCAGAAACAGCAACCTCTTAATTTGCATACATTTATAAGTTTAACCACAGCATATGAAGGCAAGTTGACAACATCATTACATTTTTTTCCTTTTATTCAAAGAAGACAAAATATGCAGCAAACAATGACAATATGAATACATATTGATAGAATGAATACATATTTTGATGTAATAAATTTATAAATATTGCATGTTTATAAAAAAAAAAATGCCACAGTTCATATATATACAAATCATTAATTATATGATTGCAAATGAAAAATGGAAATATATGCATAGTGTGAACTATTAAAAATGTCAATCGCTTGGAAAAAAAGTACCAGTCACGAATAATACTACATGTACATGTATGTTCTTATATAGATAATCACCTCGGCACACACTTTCACGCCCACCTATTTTCAGAGAGATCAACACCAGCAATAGCAGTAGTGAAACATTTGGAATCTGTTCTGATATACCCAAACACAATGACAGCCTAACTTCTAAATACCGGTTGGAGGAAATCAATCATGTGTAAGCATACTTAGTTGTGTTAAGATGTGTTTTTTTTAATAATAATTATTATATTATACACAACGCCCTGTCCATCCTGATTAACTATGCATTCTCACATGGCAAGTATTTTTCAAAGTGCACAAGGCATTGTAAATGAGAAATGAAGTCAATACAGAATGAACATAGACTGTGAAACTATTTACATGTACATGTACCTACTAGTAATAGTATTGAGGTGGAGTATTACACATACAAAAGTGGCGACGCTTGCATAGAATTATTAATGTATGTATACATCCTATCGTGGAAATTACGGAAAGCACCAAATCATCCAAAACTCTTTCATTCATTAACCTAAAATGAGTCTATATGATAAAAGAATATTGAATTAGATGCACAATATTAATACTTGGATACAAATGCATCATGGTTTACAAAAGTAATGCATGTATAACAAATCAGAAATTTATAGAGAAAATATTCAAAATTTGCTTGGGTACCAGTATTTGATAATAGGCAGTCTTCAATTAAAATGAATACAACTAACCAAATCTTCTTCAAAGATGTTTATTCGCACTGTCCTATTTGCAATAAAATATTGAATATTGCTTGATCTATTTTTAATCAGACCAGTACCAGCACTGCTTTGCCATATTCCAAACGGTGGAAGTTATCACTTCATCCATCACTGATAAGAAATTCATAAATCATGGTGCTCAAATGTCAGTCAGATCTCAAGTTTTCTTGGGATTCCAAAGTTTTTTATTCATTATTAGTCTTTTACTACAACAATTAATGGACAAACAAACTCAGAATGTCTAATCCCAAGTGAATGGCTGGGATATTTCCTCTTGTTAACAGTCACCTTTTCTGGGCTATGTGCTCCTGGACCTGGTTTGGTAGCAGAGTCGTTTGCTAAATCATGACGCCCGAGCATGGAGTAACTGGGCTTCTTGAACTTTGTGACATCAGGATGGATGGCATCGTGACTGCCTGGCCCAGGGCACTTGGCATGATCTTCTAAGTAGCTGCCCACATGGGGGCGTCCTGTCATGGAGTGACTGGCACTTGAATACTTGTTTGGAACTTTGCTTCCAAGGAGGACGGGTAAGTCGTAACTGTTTGGAGCTGGGGCTTGATCTCGTTTCCTGAAGCGCGTGCGGGACCCCATGGAATGTACAGGAGCATGTCTTTCACCCTGTGGATGAACCTTTTCAGGAGAATATGCATAAGGTGATGGTGTGATGAATGTATCTGTAGAAGGAAAAAATAGAAAAGCAAACAAAAATGATTAAAAAAATATTCTACTTTTTAAATGACATTAACAAGAACAATTCTACACTTATCAAATATAACAGTAATTAGAGATCTATAGTTTTCAAACTTAAATACATTTCTCCAATTTCAGTTTCAAGGCCAACCATTTATCTTTGTAAAAATGAAGAAAACAAACAGGTTAATTTTTTTATTTTAAACAGAATGTTAAGTTAAATGAAATACTGTCAGTATACAAAGATACTGAGATGAAAGAAATTCATAGAACTTGTACAAATGACCCTTTGTAAATATCCATCTATCTTTTTGACATTTACACATGGAGACGACGTCCCACTTGGTGCATTTTAGAATAATCACTGCCAAGGTGATGGAGGTGCTTAATGGATATATTTTGTTTGCTTTCTTGAAAAGAATACTTCCATCTGGATATCATTCATACAATGTACCATCGGTGCATTTAATGAATCAACAAATATGATTTCACTTTCATGAACATGAATATGTAGAATCTACTTACTTGGATCCTTTTGCCTTGCAAGCATGGAGTAAGCTGGAGTACCATCTTTTCCAACCCTTGTGATTTCTGAATGAATTTTGTAGCCGGGTCCGGGACTGCAATCTTTTTGAAACACTGCATTGGGGAATAAATCCAAAAATTAATATACATGTAATATAAAACAAACTAATCACTGTATACAATGCAGTTCAATTCAAAGCCACTGGAAATACAGATGTAAATGTAATGAATTAAAGAATATGGAAAAGGCAATCAACACAAAATTTAAACAAAATTAAAATAGAAAATACTTGAAAAAATTAAAAAGGCTTTAAAAAATAATAATTAAACAACATTTGAAAGATAGACAAAAATAAGATACTTACTTGAGTTCTCCAAGCGATGCCCAAACGAATATGCTGGTTTCATGTGTTTGGTGAAGTCATGAGCAACAAACCCACTCGTTGATGGAAGACCATATCTTCCTGGTCCGGGACCTAAGATTACAAAATGAAAGGTAGATTCAAAATATAAATTGCATAGACTCTACAATGTACATGTAGGGTCTACATAAAAAAAATCAAATAGTCAATTGATGCCTGAATACAGAAGTTATATCTGCCATTAAGTTGATTTAGACCTAGTGTCTACTAAGTAGTCTAATACTAGACTAGTTTAAGAAGTTACTAACAATAAATCTACTTTCATTGAAAGTTTATGAACTAACTTGTTATATAATATAGACTAGAGGTCTAGTCTAGATCTAGACTTCTCTAGGTTAAGGCTCATGGAGTTTTGATAACAATAAAGTCAATATGACAATAATAACATTCCTAAAGTAAAACAATAAAGACTCAGGTAGGATATTAAACTAGGGTCTAGACTAATGTTTTTCGTTCAATCTGAACAGTGAAGGCAAAAGAGATCAAACTTCGAAGGCTTTAATCCTGCTTTATCATTAATATTTTTGTTTAGCGTCTGGACACCCGACCCCCAATCATAATAAAATTGTTCAACATTAAACTAATAAGTCTTAGAAGATTTATGAAATATATTGCTTAGATCTATTAAAGTTAGACTTCTTCAAATTCCTGTTTTAAATCAACTGTCTTTGTCTGGATACAAAACTTGTCCGGGCACAATGTCTGGGTAAATATGCTCGCGTACTAGCGTAGCCGTAGAAAATTATCAACTTACCACGCTCACGAGCAGCAATAATAGGTTTCTCTGCCGATTTTTTTGACTTTGCTGACATCGGTTGAGCATATGGAGAATCATTCATGTCCCGTTTCTTTTGCTTGGTCTTTTCTTCTTGCTGAGACATGATTTCAGATCAATTCGAGCAGTCTTGAAGAAATGTTTTAACACATGTGATACTGCCGATAACCTGCTGAATAATGACGGTATCTTATGTGATGTTATGGCTTATGCCCTAGATACGTGCACACGGTACGAGTTTACTAGATACCGTTGTGAATACACGCTCCAACTCCACAACAAAACAACGTAAACAATACAAGTTAGTTGCGCGTGGTGCGGTGGTGGTGGATCAGCTGTCCGTTGCTAAGACGCAACATGTCTTATCAGCAGCCAAGCGAGGGCGCTAGAATTTATAGCGCCATTCGCGACAAGATCTTGAACAGCTGTTTTAATTTAGGACAGTAGATGGCGGACTAACAATTTTCTAGACTGAAAACTTAACTATGTACAATTTTAATCTGATCCTTATAATGTACACATATATATCGGCGACTTAAAATCGAACTCGAATGACCGGTTGAATGTGATTGAATACCTTGCAATTACCAGGAAACAAGCAAGATGTCTGACGGGGAGGACGATTTTATGGCTGACAATGACAGTGATGATTACAATTTAGTGAGTGAATATGTAATTTAATGTTTACAATGCTTACATTTTAGACGATTTTACCCCACGTGGGAAGGCCAGGTAGATAAATCTTGACTGCTCCGAACCAACATTCAACAATACTGATCCTAGCTTGGCCCACACCGGGGGCCGGGCCCACACATAGGTACATTACTATCCTGGCTGTGTATTAAAACCTGTTCTACGTACTTACTTACTTGCTTGGTATACTTGGTAGATAAGCTCTCTTTTCCTAAGGGAAGGGCTCTCAATTGACTCTTCAAAGTCGCCACTGTAGGTGCAGACGAATTCCAGACAACTCTTCACAAAGACAACCCGCCCCAAGGCCAAGACAACCCGCCACAATACCCTGGAGTCTCGCCACAATACTCTGGCTGGACAACTCGCCACGGGCGAGTTGTCCAGGGTGGGGTGCCTTTTTGGACAACTCGTCACACTTTTTTCCCTTCATGATTTCTAGATCAAAAATCCCTCATCTTAGATCTAGATGAACAGATGAAATTGTCATTTTATGTAGGGTCTAGACCTCTAGGGTCTAGACCCTAGGCCTATTCATTATTCTTTTATAGATCTAAACACAGTCATTACAAAGAATAAAGAATAAAGAATATTCCTACCATTAAAAAGTTTCCTGAGACAGAAAAATGAACTTAAAAATCGAGAAGTTATTCGGCGATCATAGTCGTAAGCCTTGGGTTTGTCCAAAATCTTGTTGCAGGTCTTATTGCAAGCGCAAGGAAAATCAACTTTATCAGTTAGAACAGCCTCGCCCCCCCCCCCCCCCAACTCCGGGGTCGGAATGACCGCATGCGTGTTACCAAAATATCCGGTAAAGGGGTACTTTTCGTCCGGCCCGAGAATTGTAAAAAAAGGGGTGTATTTGACTTTTCACCCGGAGATTTCTTTAAAAAGGGGGTTATTTTTTTTTCTCCTTCTCATCTGTTTGGACTCCTGAGAAATTATTCTGAATTTAGGGGGGTACATTGAGCATTTTTCCGGATTTAGGGGGGTCTCGAAGGCAGGAAAACCCCGCGAAAACCTGCGAAAGGGCAGTCCTCAAATAGGGGGTGCTTTCAAAAATAGGGAACAAGCATATGCGTACCCTAAGTAACACTGAGTGGGGGGCGGGAGAACAGCTCTCAAAATACTCACAATTCCCATGTTTCCTGTCATGACTGTGTTTATAAAAGAATAATGAATACATAAAATGACAATTTCATCTAATATGAGGGGTTTTAGATCTAGAAATCACGAGGGAAAACAGTGTGGCGAGTTGTCCGAAAAGGCACCCCACCCTGGACAACTCGACCATGGCGAGTTGTCCAGGGTATTGTGGCGAGATGTCCAGGGTATTGTGGCGGGTTGTCTTTGGGCGGGTTGTCTTTGTGGCGAGTTGTCTGGACCCCGTGCAGACACTACTTTTTTTGGTAGGTTATTCGGCGCTTGTTCAGAAACGTATAGATCTAGGCCTACAAAAATTGACCGGTAACTCCGGCGTGGAGATACGCTACTAAGATATATCCAAAATGAAGTAAATATTCATTAAATGTCCAAATAAAGATCATGAGTTAAAAGTCGTTATGTTAATTAATAATTACCTGTTTCATGTCAGTTTTCTCGTTATTTTTGGAGTATTTTTCGGATAAACGTTGATGTTAGTTTACACCTTTTCACAGGTTTCACGGCAAACCGCGCCGCTGCACAAAACAAGTACAGATGGTGGGTTGCGGGCGGGTGTGCGCCTGTGTGAAGTTATCTACCGTAATGTCTCAGATCCTCATTACGGTAGATAACTTCACACAGGCACACGCCGGAGTTACGAGTTAAATTTTGGATACATTTCTAAACAAGCCCCAGTTATTCCAAGGTTGGACCACTCTGTTAGAATAAAAGTCTTTTCTAGAATGCCCTATTAATTTCTTACTTTGGGTGGGAGAAGAATCTTTGTGCTGGAGTTGTGTAATAACCATTAAGGTATTTGTACAAATTAGTAAGGTCTGTGTTTGCTCTTCTCTCCTTCAATGACTCAGTAGGAATTTCCTTGTTACCAAGACATAGGCATTTGGTCTGCACCTTCTTTAACTTCTCAATATTCTTCTTTGTAAGTGGGCTCCAAGCAGATGATGCATATTCCAGCGCTGGACGAATTATGGATTGATACAAAATGGTGATTTTCCTTTCATCAAGTGCAGTGAAACAGCGTCGGAACATTGCAACCTTACAGCGAGCCTTTTTAACTAGTTCATCAACATGTTCGGTAGGGGTGAGGGTATTGCTAATTATAACTCCCTAGTCCTTTTGGTTTGCCACTTTCTGCAGATGAACACCATTGATAGAATAATTGTAGATAATAGCTGCTCGGATGCGCAGGACAACACATTTTTCAGCATTGAATTCAAGTAGCCATAGTTTAGACCACAGGTGGCCAACCCACGACCCGCCAGCTCTTCTGGTGTGGCCAGCGAAGCATTGAAAAAGTAATCATAAAAAATAGTCCATAAAAAAAATGCGGGCCGCATAGCAGCGATGAAATAGGGTATACACAGCTATTTCTATTTCCTTAATTTGTTTTCATCCTTCACAACCTATTGACTTGTTACGTGGTTGATACAAAACTCCTCAAATTCCCTCTCATTACATTACAATAACGACATTAAATTCACTCGCCGTGTTTATTTCAGTTTGTAATTTCCGTATGCAGTAACGTTTGTAAATATGGAGCTATTAACATTGTACACACCTTCTAGAAATCTTTGTTCTAATAAGAAAAAATTGTTTGTTATTCCACCAGTGATGACCAGGTCATATGGTGAACGCAGCTTCGCTCACACTGCTTCAACTTCATGGAACAATCTCCCGGAAAATCTAAAAAACATTGACTCCATTGTTAAGTTTAAGATTGCTTTAAAGGCGCACTTATTTAACATTTAATTCATCCATTTTGTCTGTTACCCAGTACGTCTTGTCTTTGTATTCTGTTGTGTTTTTCTCTAGAGCGCTTAGGGACATGTTTTAATACTATGTGTTATGCGCTATACAAAAACAGTTAATTATTATTATTAAGAAATATGTTTGAAATGCCATACACCCCTGTACTTGTATTGAAACTTACAACCCTTTTATCCCAACGTTGAATTTTCTCATGAATCTTAATCGTAAACTGGATTGTCCCCTCCCCTATACACCGCGTACAATTAGATGTACATGTTCAACAAATAAAGTTAGGGTATTCTTTACGCTGTGTCCTTGATTTTGTGTGAAATAATAACCAAAAATGGCATCGACTTCGAGATCTGCGAAGAAAAGGGAAGTTTTTGATGAAGGCAGAAACTTTAAATCAGATTGGTCTCTGAACTATTTCTTCATGGAAGAGAAAGGGGAACTACTTTGGCTTATTTTTCACCACAAAATCACAAAAAAAAAGTAAGCCTGATTTTGTTGTTTGCATGTTTGTTTTTGCAAAATTGCAGGTGGTACACATTATTGCATGCGTGTGTGTGTGTGGGGGGGGGGGGTAAGACCCCTAGGGGTGCTCACATATGAGGACATACGGGGGTGTGCCGCTCTAATGGGTCACTTTTTCACAAAAAATCCCTAAACATGAGTCCCACTTTTAACAAAATTATTATACCATAAAAAATGGGTCCCTTTTTCAAAATTTTCAAAATTTTTGGGTGTTTGCCATGAAACACCCTCAAAATACCTGAAAATTGTGAAAAATGGGTCTTTTTTCGAGAAAAATTATCCCTAGAAATGGGTAGGGGTTTCGGAGCTTGAGCACACCCCCGTCCAATCCAAATCTGAGTACCCCCCCCCCCCCCCACTACCCCCACTACCTACGGCCCGCCAAGTTGATGCGATCGTTAACTGTGGCCACCCGTGGTTTAGACCATGCAGCGAGTGCATTTAAGTCTCTCTGTAGTTTGTCACAATCATCATTTGATGTTATTTGACGGTTAATCTTGGTATCATCAGCAAATATCTTGGCAGTAGTGAGAACCATATCGGGAATGTCATTAATGAAGATTAGAAAGAGGAGCGGCCCGAGAATGGACCCTTGCGGCACGCCGCTTGTCACGGACCTCCATCTTGAGGTGCCGTTTCTTAGCACTACTCTTTATCTGCGTCCAGTTAGGAACCCCTCAATCCAATTGAGAATGTGTCCACTGATACCATTGTGCTTGAGCTTGTATAGCAGTCGACGATGGGGGATGGTATCGAATGCCTTTCGAAAATCAAGATATATGACATCCATTCCTTTAGTCTCGTCATATGCTTTAGTCCAGTCATAGAGACATTCCAAGAGCTGTGTAACACATGAACACTTTTTCTGAAAGCCTTGTTGGTGACATGAAATCATATTGTCTACTGCATGTTCCATCAGTTTGTCGTAGATTATTCTCTCAAGAAGCTTTACCACTTCTATTAACACAACTGTACAAAACTCAACTGATTTCACTCAAAATAGGTACTTAAAGGGAGTCACACGTCGGTTTCCATGTGCAGAAGGCTATAATTCGCTGACACCAGACTTGGTGGAAATACCATTAATGGGAGTACAAATTTATACACAGCAAACCCGTTGGCCAGTCAAGAATTCCCCCTAATCTCTCGGAGAATACTTGAGAGTCGATCGGTTAAGGGAAAAGCAAAGCATTACATAAGGTCTAATGGTCACAAAACTGAAGGTTAACCCTGGTGATTGACAACACCTGTTATTGGGTAAACCCCCGAACGGTGTCGAATTCCCCATGAGAGCTGACTACTGAGTGTCTTTAAGTGACAATCGATTACACCTAAATAGCAGTAAAATACAATTTTTTCAACTTACCAATGTTAGAAAGAATAATTTGAAAATTCAAATCGTGAGTCTATCTAGTACTAAGTAGTCTAGGCCTAGACCTACTAACACTGTCAAACTGTTACAGCCACATCAACATCGTTGTGTGCATTTGTGTATTCTTCTTTTTCCTGAAAAGTGCAGGCTTCATGAAATGAAGATTAACGCACTGTGGACATCTATTGAAACTAAAACGGTCAGTTTTTGCAGGTTTAGGGTTAGGGTTAGGGTAAAATGACAAAAACTGACAAATTTTGCAGCTGGGCCGCGTTGTCAATTGAGCCGAGTTAGCCTGGATTCTGTAGGTTGATGCACGCACAGTCAATAGTACGTATATCTAGACAAGAGTTCCTGGTGCAGGTGTGTACATTGTATCGTGATGTGCGGATAAAAGTAGCTTGTCTGCATGCTAGACGGTGCCATCCTTCAATGCCGCTTTAAAGGCATCGAGTGAGAGAAACTATCTTAGGTCTTTCTTCAGAGAATTCTATTCTTTGCTGGTGCGCCGGTGAAAGAGGGAGGAAGAGTACACTTGGGAGCTGCAGTACAGAGTCCAGAAACGTGAGCCATGACCTCTTGTGATCGACGTAGATTCAGTGAGATGTTGTTTTCACTTGATATCTACCAGGTCCCAGCGGATTCTTCAGAGCATAGCAAGTCGACTCTGGCAGCACCTACTCTGGAGAGTTGGCCATTCAGTGTAGATCATTCAGTAATGCTGTTACGCTTGATCTGCTGTCATATCTTGCACTGCTTCTTTGGACCTGCTCTAGCTTCCTGATGTTTCGTTGTGTATGTGGGTCCCATGCAGTTGTTGCAAACTGCACTATTGGCCTCACACATCGGTCTTGTATGTTGCCTCTTTAATCTTGTGACTGCAGCTGTTGAAGTTGCGTTGAAGAAGAGCTCGGTTGTAGTTAGCCTTCTTGGTTGTGATGTCAACACGTGTAGTAGAGGACAGCTTTTTGTCAACGTTTAGTCTGAGATACTTGGCAGAGTGAACTTCATTAAGGATCAATCCATGGGTGTAGTAGGTTGAAGATGTAGGCTTGCGTTTGTTTGTTATGCAAACAACTTGGCACTTGGAAGGATGGAACTCCATTAGCCACTTTCTTTCCCACTTCTGCAATGCATCTAAGTCGTCCTGAAGTAGTGCAGCATCCTGAGGTGATGTGTTTCTCTTGTAGACTGCACAGTCATCAGCAAATAGTCTTGCTGTGGAGCTCTTAACGCAGTCTTGGAGATCGTAATTGTATGCCAGGAAGAGAAGTGGTCTGAGGACGTTGCCTTGCAGAACTCCAGACGTAACCTCTGCCTGTGTGCTGACTTGTCCATCTACCAGAACTTGTTGAGTTCGTTGACTATTATAAGTGTATTGACTATTCATGTGTGCAATTGCTGCCTATTAGCTAGAGGTCAATACGCATTAGCATTGACTCTCTATGCTTTGCTGGAGTGGCTTGGCCTGGCCATCAAGACAAATCACACAGTCACACCCATCATGCTCAGTCATAGCATGATTACACAGTCACTGTCTAGTCTAGTCGCGACAGTAACTTACCTTGTAGTTACTTATCATTACGTGCATTAAAATGCATTGCCATTGCTATCTGAATATTAGATCTAACTGTAACAGTTGGACACATTGAATGACTAGTGCATAGTGACAGTTAAAACAAATGCTTCGAAGTCTCTGATATCGACGCTTGTTCCGCTGAGATTGCATCTGTCTCCTCTGACCGCCTCTAGTCTACCGTATTTGCCGGCGTAAAGGCCGCAGTATTTTTGGAAGAGAAAATATCAAAATTCGGGGTGCAACCATGAAACACAGCACGAATTTGTACATATGGGACAACATTGAAAGGGGATGGACATTTCTAGAATAACTGTCTAGAATAACACGTCTTACCGACAATTATGTGTTATATTTTTTAAATGAAGGGCAAAGTTTTGTCATTCTCGTAATAAAATTCATAACTTACCAACCAAACTCTACTGGTAGAACTAGATTTAAGTTTTGCCATAGCTAAAGCAACCTCAATCCTCTCGCTCGCGCGAGAAAAGCTATAGCGCAATACCCCAGAGAAAGCTGCAAGGGATAGCATCACGGTCGGGATGGCCGAGCGGTCTAAGGTGGTGATTTGGGTTGCATCTACATTTCTATGGGTGGGTTCATATCCCGCCTCCGACATTTTTTTTTTTTTTTTTTTTAATGACAAAATCAGGGGTGCGGCCTATGCGGCGCTGCAGCCTTATGGCCAGCAAATACAGTATTCATAGACTTAAGTACGTCCTATGGGGTACTGTTCAGTTCGGCCGGACCGAGACAAATGAGATATGCAACAAGTTTTTCACTCTTTACGTCTTCATATATCCACTTCGGCTGCAATATTACACTAAATCTTATTAAAAATTAAAAATAACACGAAAATATTTTCTTCTTCTTCTTCTTTGGGTTAAGTCTACCTCCTTCACAGTTGAAGATTCTTGCAGTCTGATGTGTATGTGTGTGTTTACGAGAGCCAGGGGCATGGTGCAATGCTATTAAAATGGTGCAAGTAAAAAGTTTCCGGACTAAGTTGAGGCCTCCCGTCAGGCATTGGCGGAAGGCATTCGCGGATGGCTTGCTCATTTAGATCCTAAATTAATGATTAATCTGAGAAAGTCTTGTAGTCAACATGATTTGTTGTCGGCCATCTTGGTTTGAGTTGATGAATAATCATTTTTTCTTTTCGAACGTCCAATAGCTACGTACGAGTCAGCCTGGCTTGACCAAGTGATATATGAATATGCATAAACCCAATATTGAACAAGTGCTCTGATTGGCCATTGGCTTTATCTTGGTAAGTTGACCCAGAAATATACCAGCCGGGTCACGTTATAGATTACCAGTTCGAATGCATGAACTTACCGTTTCAATACAAATTGGATAACTCGTATAAAGTAAGTCCGTAAATTTCGCATTTGGAAATATAAAAACTTTGATAATTGTACTAGGGTGTCTGAACGATTTTTCAATTTTCCCTTTGGGATCGTTTTTCACCATTATGGTTGGATAATAAGCCAGGTCACAGTTGCAGTTTGTATTCATTATTCATTATTCATTCATGCACAAAGTGCACTCCATGATACACAGGTGGAAGTATTCTTAAAAAAAGGGGAAACAAAGGCTATTTATGAAGCACCTCCATCGCTGTAGGAGTGATTATTTCAAAATGTACAAAGTGGGATCTCTTCATGTTTTGAAGTTCTGTGGATATTCGGGGTCATTGCAGAGATGTGCTAATCGTGAACTGTCTATTGAAGAAAAAATTACTCAGAATAATACATTTCAATTTCAAGACTCACCGATGTTTCTATCAAAAGATACAGCCCCCTAAAATTTAGGCAATATTCATCCAATTTTTGTCAGAGTCAACGAAAAAGACGTACATGCAGAGTTATTTTGTTTTGCTAAATTTAAGCATTGGGAATGGGGAATCTTGACAAATGTCAGTTTTATTAAAGAATGACCCATACATGTACCAGACTGTTATTTCTGTCTAAAATGACAGTGTACATGTACATGGCCCTGTTTTGTTTCATATAATGGGTTATCCGATGTCGATGACATTGTCAATGACATTGGCAGTAATTTGGCTGTTCGCAGATGATGCCAAGCTCCAAGTAAAGTGTTGGTAATCAATTAATCATCCTAATGAGTATCGATTGTTTCAAGAAATTGCAATACACGGTCATCCTGTGTTTTCTGAAGTAATCGTTGCATCAACTCCTAGTCCTAGCTACCTAGAGCGACAAACAATTTCAATTCACCACCCAAATTAACCTGCATATGTTGTTATATAAAATAACAAAATAAAATCTTACTTTACAAGATTTTTTCAAATACGTCTTGTGCTAGCTACATTTAGTCTAGCATCATGTGTGCTGCCCGGTGTGAAAGTACATACTGCACTACTTATAGCTACTTGCGCCCTCTATAGCAAACAATAACAACGCTGACCATGTAGAGATTAAGTTGCTGACTACCATTAATCAAGTCCATTTGTTTATACGTGCAGTTGTTAAAAAGAAGAAGCGTTAACCCGTATGTGCCAAGCTACACGGCCTTTAACACCCAACTTACAAACTCATTTCAGGAAACCATCAATAGAATTAGCCTTAAAGAGAAGGTTGAGTTCTGGGGAGAGGTGAAAAATAACTTGTGAGCGTTATCATTGTTATTGTGCAAGTGTGCCAATTACCTAACGATAATGCATGGAAGTATGACATTGTATATTATTTGTATCAATCAGAGGATATTCTTTGTCTTTGTTTTCTTATGTGAAGATGAGATCTTCTCATGGAAATTTAAGTATTTTCATTATTGTTTGTTTTTTAACAGCCCTTGTAGAGCATTTCAGTTCAGTCACTTCACACTTGATATTCTCTTTGTTGAAATCTAGAATCCATTGACTCTGACTCTTTGGCTTCTTCCATTATCAAATATGTTCACAAGCTGGTCTGGAAAATCAAGAGTTTTTACAATGTAACAGTCTGCATTAAATTTAAACATATTTTTTCTCTTTGTTTTTAAAAAGGAATATTCTGAAGACACCAATTCCGAGCCAGATGTAGACCTCGAGAACCAGTACTACAACTCCAAGGCATTGAAAGAAGATGATCCCAAGTCAGCACTAGAAAGTTTTCAAAAGGTAAGATTTCTTGATACTTTGGATTTTCTATTTGTGCCCAAAAAACAGAAATATGATATAATGATCTGGCCTACATGTATTATTAAATCTAATATTTTATTCAATATTCATAAGTATTCAACATCATTCAGCCTTTTCTCAAGATTTCTTTCTAGGAATTTGCACATCAGTGTTAATGGTAATACAATTTAAGCAGCTTTACATGAGTGCCCAGGAAATTCTGCAGATAACATTATACAATTTCATATGAATTCCAAGTTTACTATAAACGAAACCAGCTTTTCTTTCATAGGAGTTTTTGTAAATTTGTTTAGGTATGGAATAGAGAGGCAGTTCTGATAAATTTTATCTGACAGACACACTTGAATGACTGAAATGTCAAGCTCCAGTCCATTTGCATGCTGAGTAGTTGTAAGAAAGCTTTAAAAGGAAAGTCCACCCTTATATTAAGTTTATTTAAATAGAAGCAGAAAAATTAGAGGAACAAGTCGGTGAAAGTTTTGAGCAAATTTTGATCAGAAATAAGAAAGTTATGAATTTTAGAAGTTGCGATCAATCAAACACAAATTGGCAATCTTGCAAGCTCCTCTCCAAATTGCTCTGTACATTGTACATAAAATTTCATGAACTTTAATTTTCTTCATTATTGATGATGGAGTAGATTTTTCTCATACAGAGGTTGAATACAAACATATTTGTAATAATAATATTAAGAGTGCATGTATGATTGAAAACGTTAGAATTCTGCCTTTTTTAGTACAAAGCAAAAGGGAGGAGAGCCCGCAAGATACGTCACAGAGGTTTTCAACTTCTGTTTGATTGATCATAACTTTCTTATTTTCAATCAGAATTTGCTCAAACTTTCACTGACCTGTTCCTCTCATTTTTTTGCATCTATTAAAACCAACTTAATATCAGGGTGTACTTCCCCTTTAACCCTATCATTTCAAAAGCTCCTTTGAAGGGCATAGAGAGGTTATAATGTGATATGGGCTACCGGTATACAAGAAACGGAAATTATTATTATTATTCTGACTTGTTTTGTCAGTTGAGCTTATATTAGAGATACTGATGTACTTTCATACAAACTTCTGAATTAGAGTTTATTCAAATTTCTTGCATAATAAATGAGAAGTTGTAACCAAAGAATATTAAAATAAATATTTTGAATATCTTATTCAAACAACAATCAATGTCTATGCTTCATTTCAAGTCAGTGGATACTTTATTTCTGAGATTTTTGTGATTTTTTTTTTTTAAATCAAGAAATATGCAAACGTATATGTACATGTACATGTAGCTCATTAGTATGTGCATAATCAAAATAAACTGATATTGTATCACTTAATGAACTGCATATGTAGGCTTGTTGTTTATAAGTTACTGTTTTGCATAAAATCAGGCATTTGATTTTCTCAATCTTCAAGATTCCTTTTTTTAGGGGGATGTGAAGATGACCCCCCCCCCCCCCCCAAGTCATAATGAGCTCTTTGAAAGCCCAGTCAGAATAAGGTTAAGTCATATCATTAACTATGATCTTCATTTCAATGTTAAAGTATCTTCTGTTTAGCCATTTATAAATCTCAGTGATGTAAATAGAGAACCTGACCTACATGTACATGTACATGTACATCATTGAATTAGCAGAATCATTATTTTGAAATATTTTCCAATTAGTTTTGAACTTTTAGTTCATCCTTCTGATTATTAAATCATGTGTAGTAGCATGCTCCAATGGAATATGTGTAACATGAACTTGTCTATAAACAAAACAGGTGATAATTATATGGATGAACTCACATAGCTTTTGAGAGTCTGGATAATCCATTTTCAAATATTATTAAGTTTTTACCCTATGATTACATTTGCTTTTTCATTTAATCTAAGAGTTACTTAATTTAAAGGCACACTGTCCTACTTGTAGCTACTTGCTCCCTCTATATAGAAAACTTCCCCAATCAGTGCCTGTTGATCCCCCATGATCCTCTTTTTCTTATGTTAAATGAGAGCTGAGATAATGAGATAGCCACCTGTCACAGTGACCTCGTTGGGCGGTCTAATCCCTTCTGGCTTAAGTAGTAAAGCCTGCCTTTAAATGTTGTGTTTATATCATCTAGGTATTGGACCTTGAAGATGAGAAAGGAGATTGGGGTTTCAAGGCGCTCAAACAGATGATCAAGATTAATTTTCAGCTGGTAAGCACACACAAAATCCTGATGTGTTATTTTTTGTTACCAATTTGAGACGTTTTTTACAACTTATTGTCAAGATGAATTTTAGACACTTTTTAGGGCTGAATCTTTTATCTGGAAAAGAAAAACATCTATTGCTCTTACCATATTGTGACTACCCAAACAATGTTAGATTAATTTTGATTCATAGCCAATTTTTTGGAGTTGCAATGTCTCTACTCTACTCATGGTTTGTGGTGAGAATGTGATATCACATGTGTTTTTTTTTTACTCTAAATACATGTAGCTATTTAACAAGCCAAAATGAATCATAAATAATTCATTCATAGGCAGTGATTAACATGAATGTTTCTTGTTTCAGCCTTTATATCAACTTATCAAAAATGAAAATCTGTAAAATTATAACACTTTGTTTTAAACAAACATCTGTTTAGAGTGATTTGATAGTTTTGTATTATGTAATGTTATATCTTTGTTGCTGTTGCAGGGAAACTATGGGGAAATGATGACAAAATACAAGTTACTATTAACATACATCAAGGTAAGAAAAAAAGAGAGGTTTAATCATTCTACTTATTGTATCCCCGGTAGTATGCTGGAGGATACTTTGGATTCAGCAGCAGCACGCCGTCGCCGCGTCCACCGCGTCATATTCTTGTGTGCGCTCTAACTGCCACATTCCTTTACAGATTTCTTTCAAATTTTGTGTGGAGGTGTATCTTGGTATAATCTTCTAGACTTATAATTTTTGGTGCTGCCCTCAGTGTTCTTTTTTGTATAGGGTAAACAGCCATATTTTTTTGATGGTTTGTCTGTGCTCTATAGTTCACATTTTTTTAAAGGTTTTTTTTCTTCAAATTTTGAACAAAGGTGTATGTTGGTAAAATCTATGCACCTATAGTTTTCGGTGATGCTGTCACCAGTGTCCTATAATTTATAGGGTCAAAGGTCATATTTTGCAGGATGGATTGAGTGCACTCTGCAGACCACATTTCTTGATGGTTGTTTTCCAAACTTTGTATAGAGGTGTATCTTGGTACATTCTATGTAATGTTTACTTTTTTGTGATGCAGCCCTCATTGTTCCATCCTTTATAGGGTTAAAAGCCATTTGTCCCTTTTGTGTGCTCTTACTGCTTGATGGATTTCTTTCAAATATTTTATGCAGGTGTGTCTTTGTAAAATCTACACATCTTAAGTGTTTGGTGATGCTTATCCTAGTCTTGACAATAGTCCGAGCCACTAGGGGCGATCTCTACATGTACGTCATCCTTATGTTTCAGGGAGGGGAGAGGGTATCTTTGTCCCTCCTTCGAACATAAGGATGACACAAAAATTGCTGCCAGTGCCGGGGGATACATTCGCATTGCGCGGTAACGAAGATTGCGATATTTCTAGTTTTCTCTGAAGTTTCACGTGGCATGTTTATTTTTCCCAATGTTCTTGGATGTTATATGTGTAAATACTCATTAAGGAATTGAATCGTGTCTGAAATGTTTTCATTATGCTCTTCTTTAAAGACCCTATCGGAAGAAAAAAAAATCAAATATATGAATTAATTATCAACAGGAAGCTTATAAAGCCATAGATTACAATAATATCAATTAAGTATGCTATTTTATTAACTGTCAGAGGAGTAACAGCTCTCTGAAAACTTTATATATCTAAAGCTTTGAAAATCAGAAGTTGTTGACCTAAAAACTAGCTATCATCTTGATGCCACCTTATGTGGAGTACCCATATTCACAATGACTTTGCATTAAAGGGAACCAAAACCTTCATGCTAAGTTACTTTTATTTTAAAGTTTAAAAGGTTTGAATAAAATCAGTGAAAATTTTAACAAAATCGGGCAAGGAATAAGGAAGTTAGAGCTTTTTGAAATGACTAGTCACTAGAGGGCGGTATTCAATTTGTTGTGGTCGAGTGGATACGTTGCCGGACTGTCGATCGCAAGGTCCGCGGTTCGAGTCCCGCCGCCGCACTAATGTTCTTTGGCAAGACATTGATTTACATTTGCCACACTCCACCCAGGTTAAGTAAATGGGTACCTGGTAGGAATTTATTCCTTGAAATGCTAGAGCGCCGTATGGCAGCCGTGCTAAAGCCAGGGTAATAATCCGGAGCGCCAGGAGGGTCAAATCTGACTGACATGAGCGCTATACAAGAACCCACTATTATTATTATTATTATTATCATCTGTGGACAACTCTCCATGCCTTTTGTACATAAAATTTCACAATTTTTTCCTATTCTTCGTATTTATTTGTGTTCTTGATCCGACTTCATAACATGTGAAGTAGAATATCATTTTGCATTCTATATCTTGCTTTCAGGGGAGTGGATTATCTCAATCACAAGAAAACGAAAAAATTGTGAAATTTTATGTACAAAAGGCATGGAGAGTTGTCTGATTTTATACCTTGCCCGATTTCGTTCAAATTTTCACTGATATTTTTTAAATATCTTAAACTTTACAATAAAAGTAACTTAGTATGAAGGTTTTGGTTCCCTTAAATTAAGCATGGCTCATCACCTCAGCTATATAAGTGAACCGGTAGGGTCCACATGTTATGTCGTCACCGTAGCTGGGGCAAATTTTACCCCTGTTGACCCGTAATTTGGAGGGATGCAGAAAATGAGGTTTTAATTTGCTATTGTGAAATGCCAAAAGGAAAAATAGTTTTTATTCCCCTATATTGGTATTCGATGTTCATTCAGCTTTCCATTGATATAGGCCAAATAACAAAAAAAATGTGTTTCCCCGTCCAGACTTTTTACAAAAAGAAGGAGGCAGGGCATTACTATTTACTCTTATAGCTGGCCAAGCATATTTATTTACAGATATTGTGATATGTGAGTATATATGATGTAATATATGACAAAAACAAATGAATTGTATCACTTAAAGGTAATACAAAGTTTTGGGAAACTTTGAAAACTGGGTGGATAGTGATTCTTTACAATTTTGATATATTTGGATGCCCCTGTAGATGTATCATAAGCACTAGAAAAATTAGCCCCTGAAACACTTCTGCTTTCGAGAAATATTGAATATAAAAATTTACTGGTGCTCCCGGTAAATTTTGATAAATTTCAATGAGCGCCTACTGCCATACAATGGTAGCTGCGACCATGAAAATTTCAGAATAAGTAGATGTGATATATCATTTCCAACTGGGAATAGCTTATCGGTCGATTTTAATCAAGAAACATCGTTGTATAGCTTAATTAATATCTTGACCTTGAGAGGGAGCTATACAACATAACAAGTGTATTATTTACAATTTCATAACTTTAGACTCGATTTCAACTGCGACAACGATCAGTGAATATTGCTTCTAATATGTTCATTTGAACCAAATTCATGACCCCATACCAAAACTTTGTATTACCTTGAAGAAGCTATTTACCGTAAACAAAATGCATATCACAGGTTTTAGGGGGGGGGGGGCTTCTTTTTTTTCTGAAAAGTAAATATTTAAAAAAAGGAGGCGGCGGCCAAAAAGGAGATGGGCGGGGACAAGAAACACTTCATTTTTGTTACTTGGCCTAAAGTTTTATTTTGGGTAGGGTCTTAAAGGAGAAGGTTAAAAATTATTGAATTAAGTTTTCATTATTTTTATGTCATTGTGAAAGCTTAACAAAGAAAAATGTTGACTGAAAAGGATGGCTCATCAAATGCCCTCATACCGGTATTCAAAATATGACAAGTAACAGCTAAAGGTTGTGGACCGCAAATTTCATGCCACATGTTTGCGTAGCCCCATATACACACTTTTCTGTCTACAGTACATGTGACTCTTAGCAGGACCAAGCCAATTCCTTTTCATTTCTGATGATTCCAAACCTCACAGTATACACCAATACTTGTGTGCTACATGGTCAACCTCCAATTGCTTCCATTGCAAGTGCACGACCAAAACTCAAGTTTTTCTTAAATTCAAAGATATCAAGTTGAAAGTATCCAGGTAAATTGTCATGTGTACAACATCAAGCTTATATACATACAGTGCTAGTACTACATCTATCTAATACCCTTTCAAAATTTGTATGTTACCTCAGAGTGCAGTAACGAGAAACTACTCAGAGAAGTCCATCAATAGCATCTTAGACTACATCTCTACTTCCAAGAACATGCAACTGCTTCAAGAATTCTATGAGACTACTCTCATGGCTCTCAAGGATGCCAAAAATGACAGACTATGGTTCAAAACAAACACAAAGGTTAGTAAAAAAAAACTTACCTCATCTGTTCTGAATGCCACACACATGTTAGAGACATAAAGAGTTTAATTCGAGAACAGACCAACACAAATCTGTAAATAGCACCCCCTCCCCCCTCCCGAAAAAAGAAAAACAAATGTAGACCATTTATTTCTCATACCTGCCAACTACTATGATTTTGTCGTAATTATTACGATTTTTTGTTTTAAATTTCGCCTTTCAATTTTGTGTCACAAATTCACCTGGCACTGTCCAGGCCGACGCTTACCCGTGCCCGGGAGAGCATCGGCATGGTACCGTGGGTAAAAATGTTTCCCAGCTCAATCACTGTCAACTCACCACTCAGAAACTGGGACCAAATGTCCGGATTTATGTTTGGACTCAGAGCAAAATTAGTCTGTCATCTTTGGTTTTAAAAACAGCAATGTTTACTATTATTATTATTATTAAATCAGCGCCTTCAACTGCAACTCAAAGTAAAATAGCAGGAGTTTTCGGTGACGGACCTGGGATACCGTTGTATGGTAGTGGCATTTTTGTAAATGTTTTTTTATTTAAAAAAAAACATGGCGTCCGAGTATTTGAGTATTTGCCTGTAAGCCTGGGACCGCCTGGGACCACTACCGCAAATCTCCGAGTATAAGACGCACTTTTTTGCTGCCGAAAAAAAATGAAAGTCGGGGGTGTGTCTTATACACAGGTACAAAAAAAAAATATATATATATATATATTTTTTTTTTTGGTTAAGTTTTGATTTATGCCCCTCCACCTGGCACTATGTCTGGCAATATCTCCCAGCTCAGTAATCGGTATGTTGACTCACCACTCGGAAACTAGAATAACACTCAAATTTGTCTGTCATCTTGGTTTGAAGGTAATCTTTCTAACAGATCTCAATATGTAGTTTATCATAATAATTCATCCAATTTTCTTCTATTACACACGGTGTACCACAAGGTTCTATCCTAGGAACTCGACTGTTTTTAATTTACATTAATGATCTTACACATTCTTCTAAAAACGACATTGTTAATACTTTTTGTGACAAGTTCATAAGCACAAATCGGGGCCTTCAACTGCACGTCGCGGTTAAATGAAAGTCCTTCCCCACGTGGGTTTTTTAACACAGACATAAGACATAAGGCAAAAAAATAGGGGTGCGTCTTATACACAGAGATTTACGGTATGCACATCCCTTTATTTTTCTCCTCCAGGGTCTATTTCATCGGGAATTTTGAGCTTTTAGTCCTACCATCATATCATTACCCTGGCTTTAACCGAGCTATTATGAAAAGGTACACATGCATTTAAGGAATTTCTTCCTACCGGGTACCCATTTACCTCACTTGGGTGGAGTGCAGCAAATGTAGATCAGTATCTTGCCAAAACACATTAGTACTGCGACAGGACTTTATCTGCGAACCATGTGATCGACAGTCCAGTGACATATCCACTAGACCCCGATACCTCTACATTAGTAAATTAATCAGTCATGTAATATTGGTATGCTCTATCTTTAAATTTATTATTCCTCCTTCTTTTTAGCTTGGAAAACTGTACTACGACAGAGAAGAATTCAATAAGTTGGCAAAGATCTTAAAACAGTTACATCAATCATGTAAAGTGAGTACCTCTCTTCTTAAGTCATTCAGCTGATCACAACTGACAACAATTTTCATGGGTGCCTTTTCAAGTGCACCCAAAATGTAATAATAATGATGATGATGATGATGATGATACTAATAACAACAACAGCAACAACACTTATTATAATGATATTAATGATAATGTTAATGATTATAATGATAATGATGATAATAATATGGTCTCTACGCTTGTTAGAACATCACTGTATTAGTGTCTCAAAAACTCGGATGACGCATTCAAGAACAATTGTGTTTTCAGCTTGGATTTAGATTGATCCAACCATGGACCTATTACGGATGGACATTCATCGTTATCTTAACAAATTCATTGTGATTGTCTCCGTAAATGTCGTCTCAATAACATTCCCACATGTTTCTTCACTTTGATCTCATCATGGTCACTGCCAAAAGCCGGGACAGAATCAAGATAGTGATTTTACACATTTTAATCTACATGCGCAGAAGATAATAACTCGCCTAAATCATGGAAAATCGATGTGCAGTTCTGGCTTATAATTGGAAATTGTTGTACATGTATTTTATTTTGAAAAACATGTTGATATTACCATATAGAGGTTATTTTTTTATTTTTTGGTTGTGATTTAAAATCCAGTTTCCCCCTACTTCTTCATTATATTCCAGAGTTACAACGCACAGGGCTGATACAGATCATGGCCTTCTAATTGTTTATAAGGTCATAGGTGTGTGCGAAAGTTTGCGAATCAGTAATAATACATTTCATATCACCAAAATCATCTGCTTTTCAACTTTGCTGCTCCCCATTGGGGATGCTTTCATTTAAGACACACTCTTACAGAGCACATCATCCAAACAAAACCCAAGAGAGGGAAACTGCTCGCTGCACCTTTGTCATTTTTTGTCAATGACCGAAAATGCTTACGCAGTCGTTATAGTTAAAACAGCTGAATGTTCTCATTAAGATGCACATAATCAGAAGGCGGCGACTTATCATTGGATCATCAAGAAAGAATCACGTTGAATGTCCATCCGTAATAGGTCCATGATCCAACTGAGTGATATTCCTTAGATTTTGTGGGAGTTCATTCCATTGTTCCGGTGCTATCTTTTAAAATGCCCTATCTCTATATGATTTTGTCTGCACAGAAATTGGAAAGAACAGATTTTTTTATTTGAACAGATATTGTGTTTGGGTGCGTACACTTGTTGATGAGTTTACAAAAATAAACAGGTGCAATACCATGTATACATCTGAACACCAGAACAAGTAGTTTTATATTCAATTCTAGATGTTATAGGTTACCAGTGAAGTTCAGATAGGATAGTAAATACATGTTTGTATTTCCCTTTGGCTACAGTGAGTTATTATTATCTAATTGACTTGAAATGAAAGTATTTGTTGTTTTCTGGTCCAGAAATGTTCTCATTCTACCAACTTTATACATACCCATACATACCCAAATGAATTTCTTTGCAAGATGTTATATGTATGACC